CATTGGAAAGGAACGCCGGATGCAGAGGATACATGGATTGATCGAGAGGAGTTACAAAGTTTGGATCCAAATCTCCTAGAGATGTACGAGAGCTCCAGAGATTCCTATTCGACGGGGTCGAGTTTTCTCCCACCTGGGGAGAATGATGAGGGCATTGATCAGAGGTTCAAGCATGTGTATCGCCGGAAGAATCACAGATCGATGGCCACGATTGAGAGTTTATATTTTAGAGTTATTTATGCATTTTAGTTCTTTTATGTATTCCTATTGTACCCTTTTTTTTATGTTGAGTCATGATGTAGCCCCGAGGGCAATTTAGTACTTGTGTCTTCTTTGTGTTGAGACCTATATATAGGTCATTGCTATTGTAATATGGGGATGAATATATTGGAATAAAATTTTGTGTTATTTCTACTTCTTCTTGCATGAGGGCTTGAGAAGGGAGAGAGCTCAAGGGGAGCCAATCGCAAGGCCCACCAGTCGTTGGAAGAGTCTGCGACTCGTGGTTAAGTTACCTTATCTTCTCGTTCGTGTTTCATCCACCCACTTCCCCTCCACTGCAAGAACAAGCCTTCCAAATTCATTGTTTCCGCCACCTCCTTGGAAGGCCGCCGCCCACCACCTCGCAACCCCGGCCGGCCTCCTTGCCGGCGACTCCCCTTTCCACCCACCATCCAACCCATCTATCCAAAATTTGAAATTTGAAATTTGAATTTTCAAATTTCAAATTCTTTCCTAATTTGGAATTCCAAATTTGGAAAGTTGTCAGGACGAATTCAAATTTCAATTTAAATTAAATTGGAATCGTTAATTGATCGCCACATCATCACACCAAATTGGTAACCCCCTTTCTACCATTCTCCCTCTCCCTCCTCTCACCTTGCCGCCGACCCTACGATGGGCTCCCCCATTGATTGCCTCATTTAATGCTACCTCCTATTTGAAATTCAAATTGATTTCAAATTAACTTCCCCTCCAAATTTACTTAATCCTGAAATTAATTTCAGGATTGAGAATTAATCCCCTATTCTCCCCTCTATTGGCCGCCGGCCTTGCTTGGGGTTAATGCCCATTAAATGCCACTTTATGGCATTGATCGCATGAGGTTTGAAATTCAAATTCTAAGTAACTTCCCCCCCAAATTTACTCAAAATATGAAACTAATTTCAGAATTGAGTAAATCCCCTCTTCCCCTCATCTAACCTCAAATCCTTCTCCTAAGCCGCCGCCCCTCCCCTCTCTCAACCTTGGCCGATCCCTCCCCTTTCCCTCTCGGGGAAAGTTAGATGCTCATAACAAGTGGGAACGAGAGAAGAGAAGAAGACGTTCTCTCCCCTTTCTCCTCAACTATGCATGGCCGATCCTGAGATCGTCCACGGCTTCCTCTTCGACGAGCAAGGACGGACGAACATCCTTGCATCACCATTCTTTGACGTGCAACTTGGGCACGACGAGACCGTGGAAGGCTACATCGACCGCATCCGATATCAACTTGCATTGTCAATCGAGGAGCATCTCCCACCAAGCCGTTGGATCATCATTGGCCATTCACCACCCCTCCGACTCCGACTACTTTCCCGTGGACGAAGGCTTCCGGCATCCTCTTTATTGTGGTGATCTCAATTCTAGTTTGCAAGGTCTTCTCCCGCCAAGCCTAGTGTAGTCGAGTGAAAATCCCCAAGGTGAAAATTCTCATTATTAAGTTGCGGATTGTTGTTTATTAACTTTTGGCCTTGCTATTATTTTTGTTTATCTACAAGGATTAGTTAATCTACATGCACTCCTTCACCTAAGTAAGTCAAAGACTAAGGTTCTTTAATGAATTTACTTGTTATTTCAATAAGTTATTGATTGAGATTACATTGTCCATCGTTCTTAAATTTCTTAACAAGCTCCTTCGCATAATGTTTCACATCAATTCATTTATTCTTTAGGGATTTCAAAGTTATGAGCATTTTGGAATAGCCAACTAAGGGATTGAATGATTATAACTATGAGTTTATTGAAGCTTGTAAAAGATATTTGATTAATATAATTTTTCATTTTTCTCAATTTTGTGTGCTTAGTTAGATGTTGATTCCTTTTATATATGGTGCAAAGACACATTAATTTTTTGAGGAAGTCATCTCCTTATCCTGACATGAGGCTTAAATTTTCTATGATTTAAGATCTCTTGCCATATTCATTTTTTCTTCTAATTAATTCAATATTTATTTTCTGAGTGATTGTTTTTAGTCAAATTAGTTAGATTGATTTATTGACTATGGTGTAAATTCCAATTTTATTGTATTATCTTGTTAATTTTAAATTTCCTGCTAAATTTCTTTTATTCGAATAATCATCAAGTTATTGTTTTCTTTGGATTTCTCTTATCCTTCATTCTGCATCAAAAGAAGAAAAATTTAGTTGTTTTTTGGATCTCTGAATCCTACCATTGGTTTGCTTGAATTTCGTCATGTGCGTCATTTGGTTGCTTCAGGAATACTAGATCATAACATATCTTGCAGTAAATTGGTATCATGCATTAAGATTGCATCATTATATCAAGTAGTAGTAGTAGGACTTAAATTATAATGGGATCAATAAAAAATAATAAATGATGTAGTGTAATAAAATTGGTCGCTTTTAATTTTAGGCATCTACAAACTGACTATCATGTGGTTTAAATTTACGTATGGAAATTTGATGAGAGGTATAATCCCCAGTAATTTCAAATTGGATCAATAACTTAGAAAATTTCTTTGAAAATTATAATGTCTAGTTCCCAAAAAGTTAAATATTAAAGCAATATTACCAAGACATGCTCAATCATATTGATGAAGTGTTGTTGCTAAGTGTTCATTTACTAATATAAAACATAAGCTTAAATAGTTGTATTTATTATTTAGTGATTATAAGAATTTACTATATAATTGATTTAAGGATTGTAAAAAAAATTATTGTGTATGAATTATACGTGAGGTTCACAAGTCACGTAGTGACATCTTATTTGTCCCTTAGATATCATAATACCCTTATTTATGTTATTAAATGTCTTAGGCAAAAGTTATAGATGAATTAAGCTACAACACTGCAAAACTCTACATGAGGTTTTATACGAATATTTAGATTTTTAGTAATATTACAATCATTCTATTAGTATTGTCACGCCTGTGATTATTATCCCTAAAAAAAGTCAATATTATCTCCTCTCGAGTTTGTCAAACACAATAACATAAGAATCATATATTATATGGTTGAATTTGATCTAATTAAAAAAACTATAGTTTATGAATGTTCTTTTGAGGATGTATTAGATGCAAAAATATAATTTATAGGTACAATATAAGTGTACATTTGATGTTATTGAATTTTAATTTGCATTTAGGGTAGATCATGTTTATGAATCTAAGCATATATTTGAGTAAGAGCTAGAATTTGAGATTGAAAGCAAAATTGAGTGTGAGTTCATATCTAAACCCAAACTTTTAATTGAAATTGAACCTATAATTAAATTTGAAATTGCTCCAATCATATTTAATATTGTTGATGAACCAATTGAACGGACTAAAAATGCAATTTTTAATAGATTATTTGTCAATGTTAATCCTATGATAAATGATGTTGATTTTAATTTTGATCTCTAGTTTCTTAATTACCAATTCATAAGAAGAATGTTATGAAGTGGAGAGAGTTGAGTTGTGTTAATATTTCAAGAAATATATTTTATGATGGGTACTTTTATAGAAACCTAAAATTTAAGTATTCATCGATCTAGTCAAATTTGAAATTCCATAATTTGTAACGATTAAATTTTAAAAACCAATCAAGTTAGCCCATATAGGCATGTAACATTTGTGTTGTTTGTTTGCTTTCAATTTTTATTTGTCATCCTTTTCTTTAAGAATTAGATATAGGTTTTCATAAGAATCCCTTAGGATGTGTATTAGTATTTTAACATTTCATTACTTGCTTCATGTCATATTCATGATTTGCATGACTTTTTTGGCTTACATGAAGATATTCTAAGTTATTTGTATCATTGATTTATATTTAAGGGTGTAAACAACCTGAGTTTGAGCGAGCTTGCATGAGCTTGTGTTCAGCTCATTCAATTGTTTTTTAATTCAACTCATTTGAAACTGTTAGTAAATATCATGTTTGTGTTCGTCTTATTTGATTTTTCGTTCAAATATGGCTTGTGTTTGAAATTGTTTGTAAACATCATGTTCACCCAATGAGCTTGTTCAGCTTGAATTTATCTTGAATTATTAAAAAAAAAATTAGCTTCAATTTTTTTTAAATTAAGCATATAATGGCGAGTCGTGATTAACTTATTAATTTATATACTAAGTAAAATAATTGTTATAAAATTTAAATTATATATATATTTATATGAATAAATAACGACTCGAACACAATCAAACTATTTCTGTGTTCGGCTTGTTTAAGAAATGAGCGTGAAATATTTCTTCAAGCTCTGCTCGTTATCATAAAAAGCAAGTTGAAACACCAGCTTATTTGCATGCCATAGCTTTTTAGGAAATTCTAAGCCGTTCAGACATTAGCATAAAATTTTAGTAATTTTATGTTAAGCTAATAATGCTGAACTGCAGTGTTAGGATTACTAATTAGTTGAAATATTTTTTCTCATGAACTTGTTAAAACCTTCATCTTTGCATACAGCTCTTTGAAACATTTACAATAGCATGTAAGATATTTGCTTCTAGTCACCATGCTCTTTTATCAAGGGTGCTTAGGATCTTGACTTATTTTTGCTAGAAATACTAAAAAAAACAGAATTCTACATACAGATCCTTAAGAACTTCATCAGTTTCGATTTATGACATGCATCCAACATTTAGTGATTAACCCAAGGCACGTTATAATACCTTAAAAGGGATTCTTTTGTTGAAATTGTTTGTTTAAATATTCTCTCTGTTGAGATTAACCTTTTAATCTGTAATTAACTAGTAATAGCTTCTGTTTAGAGAAACTAACTCCAGGATTGATTTTCTCAGTCACCAGAAGATTGTGCTGTATCAATATCAAACACAATCCGCCACCACGAGGCTGAGTATATGGCATCTCTTGAGGTTATTATCTATTTTGGATTTAATGTCTCATGACGTACGTGTCATCAAGAGATTCTGAGTTTGTTTCTTCAACAATTCACAGGAATCTTATTTGCATTTGCCAGACACAACTTTCAAGGTATTTGTCATCTTTTGCGATGTTATGCAATTAGTTTTTATTAACTTTGCATTCAATCTTGCTTTGAGCCCATGCAGCTGTGCATTGCATCATCAGAGCAATGATCATACCGTCACAGTTAGTTCAGTTTTTCTCCGCGCCTGGCGTGCGAGAAATTATTAGGTGCAGAGTCCGGATGTAGAGATACGTCTGGACTCCAATAAAATATTGACACGTGGATATTCAATTGGATTTATTTTTTAATTTATATATTTAATGTGTCCGCGGAACTTTAAGCCAAGCGCACCAAAAGCGTAGCCAAAGTGCAGGTAAAGCGCAGGTAATGCGCAATAAAAAAGTACAACAAAAGAGCAGTCAAAGTGCAACTAAAGCGCATGTAAAATGCACAAAAAAAGTGCAACCAAAATGCACTCCACGTGGCATATTTTAATTGGATGTCCGAACGTATCTCTACGTTTGGATCCGCACCTAATAATTTCTCTTGGTATGCAGCCTTAACATCATTTTTTTTAGATTTGCGGTTGTGCGTATTAGCCCGTGTGGTGTGGTCATGTGGGGTGGGGGAGATTGTGGGTTTCAAGCCCAAAGGGTTGGACGCCACGCAACCTACGCAACCTTTGAAAGCTCAGATGACTTACAAACTTCACACACATGGGCCCAAAGGGATATAAAATGGTTGAACTTGAGCGAGCGCAAGTGTTTTTTGGCTCGGCTTGCTAAACAAATGTGCAAAATTTCTCATTTGTATTAACTTTGTTGAGCCGAACACGAGCTATTCATGATCATAAAATCAATGGGTATGTCGTCACAAATATACACATATATCATTAGAAATATAAATGTATGAATATGAATAAAATACAATCTATATGGGTATATGTACAAATATATACATGAGCACATCTAAGTATACATTCATATAGATTCATATTTCTATACATCTATATGCATATAAGTAAAGCCGAGCATGATTGAGCAAATCTTATTAGTGTTTGGTTCATTAAGTTAAACTAGACCTAATTATTGAGTTGAATGCGATTGAAAATGAACAAGAAGCTTTTTGATAGCCCTACACATGAGACCTCTGCTGCAGGATTTCATCTTTGTGTTGGTGCTTGAATTTATCCCATGCTTTGCACATTGCACCACAAGTTGCCAAATTAGGCCGGTGCACAAGGGCGGAACCCTTAAGCGCCCAGTGGGGCAATTGCCCCCCTAAAAAAATTTAAAATTTGTTTATTATTTGAATTTTTAAGTCATTTGTCCCCCTCCAATTTTTTTACTCTTTATTATAGGAATCTTTAGGCAATTGCGCCCTCCCCCTAAAAAAATTAAAATACTATCATCTTTAGGCGATTGCCCCCTAGTAGAATTATACACATTGTGTAAAGGGGTTATTACAAGAGATTTTCATATACAGGTCGAACCCCATCAGGAGGCGCTGCCCCCTTGGATCTCCGACACATTGTTTTACATTATATGAAAAAAAAAATCTCTACACTTTCTATTTATAAGTTTGCCCCCTCTAAAAATTAAGATTGGTTACACCCTTGTCGGTGCAACAGCACAGTAGAATAACCCATAATGTGCTGTTTTGGGTTAAAGTAGGATTACAGTTTTTTCTTTCAATTTTCCAAATATGAAAAGCTATTATCTATATAAGGTTATTCAGTCTATTGTGAATATTCTTTTATAATTTCCTCCTCTATATATGCCCTTTTCTATTGAATTGTGTAATGGTGGCTGCAGGATCTTAGGAGGAAGCTTCCTGTTACTCGGACTCTATTTCCATGGCAGAATACTTTGCAGTTCAGCTTAACCAGAGACATCTCGAGAGAACTTGGAATTGGGAAGTGAAGTTTTTAGTCAGCTTATGCCAAAGTTGTAATTCAGCTGTTTGGTTAGAATTTTTTTTCTTAAACCTCGGCCTCTTAGCTTGTTTTCCCATTGCACTTCATTGATATGATTGTTTACTCCCGTTAGATTCCCAATCCCCCTCGTAGCTGATCTACACTTTGAAATATTTTACTTTGTTACTCTCATTTCAGCCATTAATATGTTCACCCTGCATTAGCAATTTGGAGTACAGTTTTTTTAAAGGAAAATTTGCCTTCTAAGCTGGAAAATTATCGTTATCTCCTTGCACCTCGAAGGTTCTTGTTATATCTGTATCAAAACAAGTAAATACTATACTTGGGCTTTATTTGGGATAGCTTTTTTATTGTTTTCTGAAGCAATTTTTTAGTATAAAAATTTTTCATCCAAAAAATTTTTGTACTAAAAAACCGCTTTAAAAAACAATAAAAAAGTTATCCCAAACGAAATCTTACTAATGAAGGCGGTGCATACTAATCAAAGACACGTAATTTTTATATTATATATTGTTTTCTAAATTATTTCTTGATTATGCTTAATGTTTTGAAATAATTAGATGGAGAAGCAAAGGGTAGAATTTCAAGTACGAACAAGCGAATAGGAAGAATGAAAGATACAAGGAGATCTAAGTCAGCTGTTGAACAACATATAATAATGAATTTGAAGGTGCTAGCAGAGGTTGCACAAAGATCTAATAATATTATAAGAAAAAAGCACTAAAAGATTCATGTTTAGAGGTTAACAACTTATTATGAATCACAATGATGATATTGTGAATGGTGCAAGATCTATTAGCTCAAGTCGAGCTCATAAAATTAGCGCAAGCTTGGCTCATCCTTCAAACTTCTTACCCATCGTAATTTTGGGGTCAAATTCATCTCTTCTTTGCCGCCTCACTTTATCTAATCCTATAAAGTAAGAGCGGCATCATTTTTCTGCTAGGGCTTCGTTTGAGATGACCTTTTTACTGGTTCTTGAAAAAGTTTTTTATACTAAAAAGCTGTTTTAAGAAGTAGTAAAAAAGCTGTCCCAAACTAAGTCTAGTTCCTTCTAAAAAACTTGAATTTAACAAACTCAAGATTTATTGCAAGATGGCGAGAAACAGGATCTTCATGAATGTAGGATTAAACTTTCATAGAATTTATGTATAAATTCTCAATAGCAAACAACCCCTTAGTTTTTTCTTCACGAGCTCGAGTGCACACATAAATCCATTAACTCGGATTTTTTATTAAAATTAAGATGAAGGGTTTGTTAGAGGAATTCGAGTTTTATAAAATTGATGTGCAAAATATAAATTTTCAATTATTATTGTTAAAAATAGCTTTTCTCTTGAAAAAATATTTTAAAAATAATAAAAAATAGTCAAATAAATTTATGACTATCATTATGACTATCCGAAAAATAAAACAGGCGGAAAGTTATCTCAAACAAATAAATAAACTTTAACTGAAGCATCTTCTAAACTCCAAAATTATTTATAATACTCCAAAATCAGAATCATACTTTATGACGACTATTTAAAAATAATTAAAAAAAAAACTTTCTCCCTTGGCGGTCCACTTTACCGCGGAGGCCAGTGGATTCTTATCCAGATTCTATCTTTGTCAGTTAGTAGCGCGCTCCCCCGCTCGGACACTCCATCGACGTAAGAAGAACATAAAACCCACACGGCCACTCTTTCTCTCCATTTCCGCTTCCAAACTTCTATCCTCCTGTCACTCTCTCTCGCATTCCAAACAGAGAGAATGGCCACGGCACTGCAGCCCATCCGCCGGACAACCGCTTCCGAAGAGGATCCGGCGAAGCTTCGACTTCCTCTCACCACTGGTGAGGAAGATGTGGAGTTACAGGAGGAGAAACCGCGACGGACGAAGCGCGTCGCTGCGCTCGACATCTTCCGCGGACTTACCGTCGCCGTACTACCCTCTCCTTCCAGCCTTACCTCTCTCTTTCCCATTTTTTGGTTTTTTGGGAAGCCCATGGCCTTCTTACTTCCGATGTGCAGCTGATGATCCTTGTGGACGGAGCTGGAGGCGAGTGGCCAGTAATCGGGCACGCGCCCTGGAACGGCTGTAATCTGGCGGACTTTGTGATGCCTTTCTTCTTGTTCATCGTAGGGATGGCCATTCCTCTGTCCCTAAAGGTTTGTTTCTGGTTGGCAATTGAAATTTGGAAACTGCTTTTTCAGCTGGAATTAACTGTTGAAGTTATTGTTTTTTTCTTTTAAATTTAATTTCTGACGCGCTGTGTGAATGTGTGAGCAGAGGATGCCAAACCGGGTTCTTGCTGTTAGGAGGGTTCTTGTTAGGACGATTAAGCTCATCTTCTGGGGCCTCATCTTGCAAGGTTAGGATCAAAATATCTAATGCATTAAAAAAAATTATTACAAAATTGTTTTGGTTTGAGCAAGCATTTTGATTCGGTGAACTTTAAGACAATCCAATGCATCAGCCACAATTATTGGGCTACGAATGATTTTGCTTTTCCAAATTTTTTATTATGTATGCTTTTAGATCAATTAAATGTGTGGCAACAATTGTTAAGGTTAGAATGATCTTAATACATGATATCTGTATTAAGATATCATGTATAGACTTATAAATAAGGATAGTTTTGTTTAATAAACTAAGCCTTCTCCCTCTCAATTCTCTGAATTTAACAAGAGGTATTCCTAATACGACTTGGTTAGAAAGGATTTGAAATGACCTTTTTTTTATTAGATTTAAATGAGAATTTGACTCTTGATAAGACATAATGGAGAAAAATGATCAATGTAGCTGAACCCGCGTAATGAGATGAAGGCTTGATATTGTTGTTGTTATTTATATTGAGTTAACTCAAACCATATTCAAGAGAGCCACAACAAACACAAACTTGACTTTGACTTTAGAGTGAAGAGCGAAATAGACTAGATTTTGAATCAAGTCAATTTTGAGTTAAGTGTTCAACAATTTCTGAATAAGTTAAGTTTTGCAATCTTAGGTATTATTATAGCTTTTATAATTGTTTTTGTTGAATTATCATTGCCTTTTTCTAATTAAGATCATAATTTCACGAGCATCTCATGAAATTTGAAATTTTTATGCAAATAAAGTTCATTTAATATAGCTTTTATAAATCATATCTAGAGTTTAAAGAGAAGTTCATTTTTACCATGTTATGAAATCATTTATGTACTTTAGTGTTAAAATATTTTTCTCATTTAATATGATAATTTAAGAGAAATGCTCAAAATTGTTCCTTGATTATTCGTATATTGCCAATTTAACCCCAAAATATTACATTTTTCCAACTTAGCCTCTCAACTATACAAAATTAATCCCTAAAATAAAAATTGATGGAAACATGGATGTAAAATTTATCTCAGTTTAATCATTGAGGAATCAGTTGGGATCAACTATTATAGCCAATGGACTAAATTAGAGAAACATGATATTAAACTTGCTTTATAATAATAGTCAGGTCAGGGGACTATTTTGAATTATTATCGATAATTTAAGATAACACTGCTAAAATAAATTTTAAAAAATTGATTTAATGAATTATTAATTGAAGAGTAAAATAAAAGACTATAAAGCTCATGAATCTTATATATATATATTAATTAGAAATTAAAGTGCATATATCTTGAAATTCGTATGTATTTTAGAAATATGTATAATAAGGTTCTCATTCTTGTAATTTTTTTGCTTTATTGATATATACGGTCGAAAGTTGCATGTTGATGCTCAATCCCTTTGGTATAAAAAAATTGTCATATTTTTTTCTTAAATCAATGTATAGGTGGATACTCCCATGCTCCTGATGAGTTGACATATGGTGTCGATATGAAACACATAAGATGGTTTGGCATCCTCCAGGTGATGCATGCTACTTGATTACTTAGTTTCCTATGCTTCTTAGCAGAATATCTAATCTATATTTTGCTTCCTAGAGAATTGCTCTTGCATATTTGGTGGTGGCAGTATTGGAAATTTTTATAAAGAATGCAAAAGTTCAGGAAGAGACACATGTAGGATGGTCGTTATTCAAAATATATTGTTGGCAGTGGTAAGCAATTTTCTCATCCTATATATTTTTTTAAATAACTTAAAATGGAGTCTATTTTTCTAATAGCAAGCGAGTATGTGAGTGTGTGATGTGTATACTGGTTTGGGGTGTAAGTGAGCTAAGCCGGGTCGAGCTCGACTCATTAACGAGCACATGAGTCGAGCTTATCGAGCCATGAGTTTGAGCTCGAGTCTGTATATTAAACGAGCTCGAGCTCAGCCTGGCTCCACTCGATTAACATAAAATATATTGAAAAATTAATTTAAATTAACATTATATAAAGTATTTTACCATTCGTAAAGTAATTCTATATTAAAATTAAAATTAAAAAATTTTAAAATTTAATTTAAAACTAAGAAATTGAGCTCAACAATCGAGTCGAGCTCGAGCAATCGAGCTGAACTCATGCCTATAAATTTTTTAACGAGTCGAGCTCGAGCTTAGTAAATGAGCAATGCTGATCCACCCAATATGTAATTTGGCTTTTCTCTCTCTTCATCATCTACTACTGTGCGTTGTGTTTTGGGTTTGGTTTGCTTTTTTTGCTATATAGGCAACATCTGTTTAAGTGCCTTTTATTTCTTTCATGTCTTCATTTTCCTTGCTAAAATAATATTTTTCATATTTTTTTCTTTAATAATTCAGGTCGGACAATTTAGGCTTTGTATGGGACGGCTTCCTTACTGTTTCTTAAATTAGATTTCTAGTAAAAAATTTTAACTTTTGTACTAAAAAATTGCTTTAAGAAGCGGTAAGCATATTGCCCCAAATGAAGCCTTAATGTTATATTCCAATACAACCATGTGTGCTTTGACTTCCAAACGTGCCTTTTTTGTTTTCTTACAGTTCATCTCTGTGCTGTCTTCCTCTTCTTACCTCATTAGAAGAAATTATTAATTTAGTGAATTTAGTGTTAAGTCCCATAGTTTTGCAAATCTTCATTCATCTCAAAATGCTCTACCAAATAAAGTTCCCTTTTCCAAGTCATACTTATTTTAATTTCGTTAAAAAGGCCAATTTTTTTATCCAAAAGGTTATTGCAAAATGTGTATGTGGAGCCGTTTTGAGGCGGTGAAGAAGCTATAGTAGCTTGACGCATTTCTTCGACTTTACTGTTGTTTTAAAAAATTCTCTAAAGTCATGGTTGCAATGAATCGATCAAATGTACCATCAATAACTTTTTGAAAATTCCTGTGTCTGCTCCTTATTTAAGATACCGCCCATTATTGAATGAGAACGGGATGGTTTAAAATTGAAGTTTTGAAAATTATCAGGATTCTGGGTGCATGCATTCTTGTGATCTACTTCACTACAATATATGCGACATATGTTCCTGACTGGAAGTACACTGTCCATAATGCTAATAGTTTGGACAACGGAAAAGTCTTCACGGTAAGCATCTTTTTCACCCATCGTATGTAATTGGTAGTTATCTAATTACATACAATCTCTCTTTTTTTAAAATATGCCATGCTAATGGACCGTTCTCATGCACAATCCACATTTTAATTGTTATGGTTTTTTTTTTCCTGCTGTACTAATTTTGGAGTTATTATGAATGCTTAGGTTTTATGCAGTACAAGGGGGAGATTGGATCCTCCATGTAATGCAGTAGGGTATATTGATAGGCAAGTGCTGGGAATCAACCATGTGTACCAACATCCTGCCTGGAAGAGATCCAAGGTGCCTTATCAAATAACTCAGACTGTTGAATTCTGCACTTATATTTGACAATTTGTGATGGATCAGTAGTATTTATGTGCTTATCATTTTCAAGTGCTGCAGGCATGCACTTACGATTCCCCCCATGAGGGTCCATTTCGGAAGGATGCTCCTTCATGGTGTCAGGCTCCTTTTGATCCTGAAGGAATACTTAGGTGTGTAACCGGATTGCGTTTTGAACTTTTAGCAATTTAGCTTCTTTTTTCAGTTCAACGAATCTTCTTTTGTTCACTTTTTTATGAATGCTGTCAATCCTCTATTTAAATACATCTTTCCTATGATTGTGTCCTTCAATCAATTATGTCTTACTATTCTTTCATTTTGACTGCTAGTGAAAATCACAAGTATTTGTTTCTTTATGGGAATCCATATTTCATCTTCAATGCTAATGTTATTCTCAGTATAAGGCAGACCTAGAGCAATGATATATAACCAAGTCTGTACATATTTCCTTAATAGTCAAATTGTCTTGATATTTTCCATGTCCAGTGGGTGGTTGGTTGGAATTATATTTAAATTAAATATTTTTTAATGCAAATTTAACAAGAAATTGCCACAAAATGTATGAAAACATGCAAAATCTTATCAAACTTTCAAACTAGCAAAAGAAAATTAGAGGACCTTCACAAGAGATCCTTTTAAATCAACAACAACAACATCAAGCCTTTATCCCACTACGTGGGGTCGGCTACATGAATCATTTTTCTCCATTTTGTCCTATTAAAAGTCAAATTCTTGTTTAAATCTAATAAAGAAAGATCATTTCTAATATTTTCTAACCATATCTTTTTAGATCTGCCTCTGTCTTTCTTAACATAAGTCAAATCTAGCACCTCTACTTTCCTAACCGGGTCATCAGAAGGCCGCCATTTTATGTGACCCAACCATCTAAGATGAATATCTCTAATCTTATCTTCTACTTGAGCTAGTCCAACCTTTTCACGTATATGCTCATGTTGTATCCTATCTCTAAGGGTAAAGCCACTCATCAACCTTAGCATCCTCATCTTTGCCACACTTAACTTAGTATTATGCTTCTCTTTTAATGGCCAACATTCGGCACTATAAATCATTGCCGGCCTCACCACCATCTTATAGATCCTTTTAAATAAGATGGAAAATTTTTTATCATTCCGAATGCCCTCGTGCTTCTTGGAAGTGGACTCTTAAATTTTCTGTAGTGTATAACTTTAGATAGTGATATTTTTGTGCAGCTCAATCTCTTCTATTCTAAGCACCATCATCGGAGTACACTATGGGCATGTGCTTGTGCATATGAAGGTCTGTTTTAACGTCAACCTTTAAATTGTTTCTCTTAGCTGAAAATGACTAAGGTAATATATTCAATAGTTATTTTCTTACTCTGTGTGGTCTCCAACTTTTTGTTGCATTGTCTTCTCTCCTTCCTTCCAGAGTCACCTGGAAAGGTTAAAGCACTGGGTACTGATTGGCTTAGGGCTTCTGATTCTTGGAATTTTGCTTCATTTTGTGCATGGTAAGAGATATAGAACTCGTTGTTCGATATGCATTTATAATGCAAACATTGACATTATATTCTTTCACCTTAAAGTCCCTTGGCGTGCTAATATCACACATCTTTTGCAGCCATTCCGCTCAACAAACAACTATATAGCTTTAGCTATGTTTGCACAACAGCAGGAGCAGCTGGAATTGTGTTTTCTGTATTTTATATATTGGTAATGTCTTGCTATTTTTCTAATTTCGGTTGCGAAATTGAAGTGAATGATTACAGGTTCTTTATCTTCATCATGTTATTACCTTAAATGGGTGTATGCCCATTCTTTAATAATGCCACGATGTCAAATACAGTTTTAGCACAACCTAATAGTGGACCTCACATTTAGGCTAGCCCATTAGGTTATTAGCCATACCTTAGACCCAAGGGGAAAACAAAATTTAAAGTAAAAACTTCCATACTATAAATATGATTTTCCTCAAATTTAAGGCGTCTGAGATCCATACCCATCCCCTGTGGATGTGCATGTGTTTTAGCATGCTAGAATTTGATTCGAAAGCTTATAAGAAATAGAATAAAACACTCCTAGTTGTAAACTCTTCATTCCGTGGGAGAATCATGACAATGTAAAGCGTAACTTTTAACCTTATTTTTTTAATTTCATTTTCTGAGTATATTTTCTTGGAGAGAAGTAAAAATAAAATAAAATTTATATCCTCTTTGTTTGTAACAGGTTGATATTTTACATCTACGTACATTCTTTCTACCATTAGAGTGGATTGGCATGAATGCCATGCTAGTTTTCGTCATGGCTGCTGAAGGCATCTTTGAAGGCTTCCTGAATGGGTGGTATTATGAGAGCCCAAACAACACTTTGGTAAGTACATCTTCTACTGAAAAATGACATTTCTAGTCAATTATTTGGGCTTTATTTGGGACAGCTTTTTCACTGCTTCTTAAAACAGATTTTTAAATTTTTATACTAAAAAATTGCTTAAAGAAACAATTAAAAAGCCGTCCCAAACGAAACCTTAGTTAGATAAGACTTTATTCTTTTTACTTTATATCAGCAAACCTTCATTTGTTCAGTTCCACATTTTAAATCACATTACAGTGATAAATGAAAATCTTGCAAATAGGTTTATTGGGTTCAGAAACACGTATTTGTCAAAGTCTGGCATTCAAGAAGGGTGGGCATCCTCCTTTATGTTATCTTCGCTCAAATCCTGTTCTGGGCGCTTGTGTCTGGCATTCTGCACCGTTTGAGAATTTATTGGAAGCTATAATATTTAATGCGAGGGTGGCTGAAGCTCCTACAAATAAGTATTTCAATCCTTCAAATGGTCAATATGTGGTAGTACACATTTCATTTTAGTTAGTTTGTTCAAAATTTAAGCCATCAACTAAAACGACTTGTTTTAAAATCTTATATATGCATTATGTATCAGCAACACATGCCAATTGAATTTCAAATAAATTTGAAGTTTCATGCCCAGTGACTTTATCTATTGGAATGTAAACAATATATCATCTTTTTATTAGGGGGCATAATTTTTAATATTTATATAGGTATTTTATATGTTGCCAATCCTTGTTTCAATGCTCAATAACTATTGTAGGTATTTTAGTGGATCTTATCTAATACACATATTCTAGTATTGCCAATGTTTATCATCTTCCTAAATCTAGAGTGTGATAATGTGGCTAAGTAGTTTTGCAATTTACTAGCCCTCAAATTTTAGTGCATCATAATGCCGTTTAATGAATAAACCAATAATATTTTAATAGATTAAATGATTCATTGCTACCACATTGCAGTCTTAATACCGAATTAAAAAATTTTGATGCATTTGTGAGTTATATTATATCTAAATACGCAATCATAAAAGAGTATTCATTTGGTCAGATCTATTTCTATTAACAAGTGATAAATCTCCTTTGTTTTATACTTTAGATGTCCTTCATGCACTGTGTAAATATATTTCATCCTATAATGATTCAACATGTTGGACATCTATACTACTTGTTGCTTTTTTGGAAGTACGTTTTAAGATGTCTAGAAGAGACAGAGGCCTGCAATACATAAAAAAGCTTCTTTGCATCCCCCCACAAACCCCATTCATTTATTTAATAGCATACATAGGTCCCTTCTTGACCCTATAGATTAAGGCTTCGTTTGGGGCGACTTTACTGTTGCTTCTTAAATCAACTTTTTAGTACAAAAATTTTAATTTTTTATACTAAAATGCTATTTTAAGAAGCGATAAAAAAGCCGTCCCAAACGAAGCCTAAATCATGCCATACAAATTATTTAATAGTCATCCCAATGATTCATTGTATTATAAAGCTAAAACTTAATATGTATAAACTATTGTTGGCAATGATTTCTACTACAATTAGGAGTTAGAAGAAAATCTTATCTATACTTAATATATGTCAATAATATTTTCATGAACCTTGATATGCAAGGAGAAAAATACTATAATAAATTTGAAAATGGTGTGAATAATAAGGCTGAATCCCCATGCATTTACAACCATTTCTTCTTTGGTTGCTTTTCCTCTGGTTCTGGTTCTTTGGAGCTGGTATGGCTTTTGGACGGTTTTCTGATGATGCTGATATTTCTCTTAGTTTTTAGTATTACTAACCACTTTTTGGGTTCTATTGTCTTTTGTATGTTTTGGGTGGTATAGTTGGGGTTTCTTGCTTTTTGACCTACATAAGTGTTTTGTTCTACTTATGTTAGGTGTGTTTTTACATGTAATCTCTTTTACCTGTAATTGTTCCTTTTATTAATATATGAGCTTTGGCCCCAAATTTTCCCAAAAAAAAAAAAAGGCTGAATCGCATAAGCGGTCATAACATGACCAAGCGCACAACATCCATAATGTAAGAGTTGGCGTTAAGCCCTAAAAACACTTTTAGTTGCATTTTCTCTACCATTAAATCTTCCCTCCATAAGAGCGATCATTTCATTTGATTTAAAATCCATATATGATAGAATAAGATTAATTATAAAATTTGACATACACATATGATGATTAATTAACATTATTGAATGTGTTAGGCATGTACAAAACTTGATATCTCTTATTAGAGTTGTCAATATTTGACATGACCTGAAAATCTGACCTGAACCCGACCCGAAAATTTTAGGTCCAGGTTCGGATTAGGGATTTCGATTTGTTTGTAAAATCGGGTCGAGTTCGGGTTAACCTGAAAACATGAAAATAACTCGTAATCAGTTGTAAATAGTGTACACTTTAATGGGAAAAAGAGTAAAAGGTGTCTTATGTCCCGCACTCACGCACATGTCGTGATGCACGATTCACGAAGACACGAACTCTTGCTATCCTGCACGACCTGCCTCTCCCTCTGGCCTCTCCTGTCGCCGTCTCGCTATCCCGTTGTCGGCCTCTCTTCCAGTCTTCCTCGTCTCCTCTCCCTCTCCCGAGTCTTGATGTCGTCGGTCCGATTACCAAACCTAGCCTTAACCCAACACTTGCCGCCTCTCCCTCTTGGCTAACAACTAATATCGTCGCCTCTCCTTGCTTTGGGCAGGAGGCAGATTTACATGACTTGTCTATTACGGGTTGGGTCAGGTTGACCCGAACCCACTGGTTCTAAAAATTGATCCATTTTCAAGAATAGGTAGGTTCAGATTGACCTGAATAGTGACGAATCAATTTCGAATTGAACCCGAACTCAGATTCGTGATCCAATTTTGACAGTCCTATCTCCAATGCACCACTTAAGTGCTTACTTTATTGAAGCACACAAGAGCCAATGGCAAGGGCATGTGAATGACTATAATATTCAAATATAATAACTCGCTATTATTATTGGTTTATGCTCGGACTGTTGATTCAACTAGGAAACCCTAAACCTTGTCTGTACACCGAAGAAAGCCCCGAGGCGAACGATGGCGAGATCGCGGAGGAAGTATAAGAAATGTCGCCCGAAGGTGCGGGTGGGACTACCAAGGAAGAAGCCTGGCGTCTTCAAGCCAACCTTCACGATCCCGGAGGAGCTTCTCTCGCTCGCCGCCGCCTCTTCGGACGCTGCAGGCGAGAAGAAGAACATTTTCTGGGACGATAAGGGTAGCTACCTTCGGAACTACCGCACCTTCGGCGTTGTCGCAAATCCTAACCTCCTTGGCGTACGTGCCCGCACCACGGATATCGTTCAAAGCGCCGAACTCCAGCTTCCTGACCGCGATGCGGCACCTGTTTCGGAGTTTGATCCGGTTGACAACGGAAGCGATCTCGAATCCGAAGGTTAGTTCTGCCATCCTCTTGTTTTTATAATCACTGCTGATTTTTATTCATCGTTTATATAAGTTTTTTTGGTCGCATTAATAACATGCTTTGGCTAAATTTTTATGTGTTTCCTAGAAACATTTGGATTGAAGGTTGCGTTATGAGTTCTAATTTATGTCTTTTACCTCCGTCGGACATTGAGTATGAATAACTGGATCTAGTAGTTTGGAACTTTTTTACGAACAGTTACTTTATATTGGCAAAATTTGGGAAAATGATAGTTGGTTTACTTGAATTTCTCATGGAATGGTTTGATGTCATACCTTTTTTTTTTCTTATTCCAAAAGAATGTGCTTACTAGTTGAAGATTCATTGTTTTATTTATTTATTTATTTGGGTAGGTTTCAATTAGCCATTTTTCAAATATGCAAGATTAGGAAAAAAAACTCAGTATTTTATTTTTGTTAGCAATTCCAGCTGGAGCTGCTTTTTGGTATGGCTGTTTGATTTGTATATCTGTTAGTGGAATCAAATTCTTATCAACCTCTTTCCACTAACTTTTCCTCAGTTTTATGACTCCTTTGCTCTTGATCCTTATTAGGATTTGAATTTCGATTTAATTTTGGTTTTATTTTGTTGTTATCTACTACTAACCATGATTGCTTTAGTTGGTGTACACTATTTCTTTCCTTGTGCTTTCTTGTTAATTCTATTAACTACCACTTTTTTACGTGCCATATCAATATAATCTCTTTTATCTTTTAGAACTGCCTTTTTGGCCGAAGAATTCAGCTGAAACAAACTTGATAATCAAGTAGTTACCAAAAGGCTAAAGAGCATAATTATTTTTGGCTTACTGCCTTATCACTCATCCATACCTTCAAACATTTTTTTTAGAAAGGATGGCAACATTTTTACCTTCATTATCATGAATAGAGGGCAAAAACCGCCTAATAGTAAAAAAAGTTGGTGGTAGAAACCAAATATGCAAGAAAAGATAAAAAATAAGAAGATTTGTTATAAAAATTAGTTTAGTTTTAAAAATTTTGATATTTAGGAAAGATATAAAAAGACGCGTAAGGAATCTAAGAAATCAATATGAGATGCAAAGATCTTAGGCTTTAATGATTTATATAATAGATTAGATACTAAAGAGGGAGAAAGATTTATGCGTAAGTTAGTCAAACAAAGATATAGGAGTAGTAAAGATTTAATTCAAGTGAAGTGTATTAAGGATGAAAGATAAAAAATTACTTTTCTTAGAAGATGATATTCAATAAAGGTGGATGACATATTTTGCTAAACTTTTTAATGAAGATTGTGAGAATATGATTGACTTTAGTGACCTTAACATCCTAAATAAAAATAAAGATTTTTGTTTTTATCGGCGTATTAGTAAAACCGAAGTTAGATATGCTTTAAAGAAAATGAAGTGTGGAAAAGCTATTGGACCTGATGATATTCCAATAAAGGTGGAAATGTTTAGGAAATGAAGGAATTTCTTGGCTTACTAAACTTTTTAATAATATTTTGAAGCCAAAAAAGATGCTAGATGAGTAGAGAATGAGTGTGTTGATTCTTTTTTTTTAAGAATGAAGGTGATGCACAAGATTGTGCGAATTATAGAGGAATTAAGTTAATTTGTCATACTTTAAAGCTATGGGAGCGAGTTATGGAGCGTAGGTTGCGTCGTGATACTAATGTTTCTCAAAATCAATTTGGATTCATGCTGGGTAGGTCTACTATGGAAGTCATACATTTATTGAGAGGTTTGATGGAGAAATATATAGAGAATAAGGAGGATCTACATATGATATTTATCAATTTTGAGAAAGCATATGATAAAGTTCCAAGAGAAGTGCTATGGAGAGTTCTTGAAAAGAAAGGAGTTAATAACGCTTCTAGTGAAATCATTAAAAATATTATGCAGGAGCTATTACTTGTGTTCAAACACAAGGTGGTTTGACCAAGTATTTTCCTATTTCGGTTGGATTACATCAAGGATCAGCCTTAAGCCCATATCTTTTTGCTTTAGTCCTGGATGTTCCCACTAGACATTTGCAAGAGGATGTACCTTGGTGTATGATTTTTGCTGATGATATTCTTCTTGTTGATAAGACTAGAGAGGGAGTTGAAGGTAAACTTGAATTATGGAGATCAACCTTATATTATCAGTAGAATCAAGTTGGATGGTTGAAGTGGAGGAATGCATTGGGCTTGTTGTGTGATAGAAAAGTTCCCCTCAAACTTAAGGAAAAATTCTATAAGATGGTGGTGAGACCTGCAATGCTTTATGGTGCTGAATGTTGGCCATTAAAAGAAAAGCATAATACTAAGTTAAGTGTTGTTGAGATGAGGATGCTCAGGTGGATGAGTGGCTTTACTCTTAGAGATAGGATACGAAGTGAGCATATTCGTGAAAAAGTTGGAGTAGCTCCAGTGGAAGATAAGATTAGAGAGAGTCGCCTTAGATCTTTTGGTCACATAAAACGACGGCCTTCCGATGACCCAGTTAGGAAAATAGAGGTATTAGATTTGACTTATGTTAAGAAAGGTAGAGGTAGACCTAAAAAAATTTGGTTAGAGAATATTAGAAATTATCTTTATTTATTAGATTTAAATGAGAATTTGACTTTTAATAGAACACAATAGAGAAAACGGATTCATGTAGCCGATCCCACGTAGTGGGACAAAGCCTTGATGTTATTGCTGTATTCAATATGTAAATCCTATATCATTAATAGAGTTATTATACTATAAATAGAGTAATTAATACAATATATAAGGCTATAACTAAATAAACATTCTCTACTAATTCTATATATAGAATAGTTTCCTAGAGATCATATCTCCCATGCTAACTTGTTGTGTCATGGGCAAATAGACTGGATTGGTAGTTCATTTTATAGATTTGGGTTTAGTTTTGCAAATTAGAAAGATTTTAGCAAAATAGATGAAAATCTCCTTGAAAGTTTCAACCTAGTGTTTTTGGAATTAAACCTCAATAAATAAGGCCAGTGCTAATTCTGGGGTATGAAAATGGGATGATAGATGCATATAGTTTTATTCATATATTGCAAAGAGCCTACGATGCATAGACATATATATGACACTATGCAGACACGGGGCATGTCTATTATTGAAAATATAAAATCCATATATACAGTGGATAGAACATTATATTTTTATATTTTTAAAATTAAAAAAAGTGCATATAAATTAACGAAATAAACAGTATAAACTTATAAAGTTATAGTAATGCTCTTTATTTTATATTGCATATTGCACAATAAGAATAAAGATATATACAAAATATCAAATATCGATGCATGTTGATCTAAACCCTAGTCGACTTGCGAGGAAGCAAAAGTTTAGATGTGAATATTTGCAAGAGAAGTGTTAGAAATAGAAATGAAAAATAGAAAAACTGAAAAAGTGAGGTTCTTTTATAAAATTTTAATTAAATTTGATGAAGTAAATGTCAGACAGGCATTGATTTTTTTTAAATTAGACACTTGGCAATTGTGTCCCACACTAGCACTCTGCATAGCCGCTTAGCATTAGGTGTCAGTTCATCGAGACCTATTCACGGAGCTGGGTATCTATAAATACTCTGTTGTAATCATTCAGAACAAATAATATTAACTATATTACAACATTTTGTATTTGCCCAACACATTTACTGTTTCTGTCAGAGAAGATAGAACTGGATTCACATATAGCATATATTTTGGAGGTGCAGATTACATGAATGTTTTCTTGATCCTATAATATTCTATTTTCTTTCCTTTATTTGTATTAAATATTCTAATTATATAGTATAATAAACAAGTTCCTGAATATTGAACAGACTTGAAAACTGCTCTGGGGAAGAAGCGCCGGGACGGCAAAGCTGCACCACTGCAACCTTTGACAACCATGCAAAGGGTTCATATTGGCAATTTGGTTATGAAATACGGAGATGACTACCAAGTAAACTTTCATTTTCTGATATACTTTGCTCATGTAATCATGAAGGTTCATCCCTTAAACACTTTGTAATTTTCAGGCCATGTTCATGGATACTAAGTTGAATTCGATGCAGCATTCAGTTGCAACATTGAAGAACCTCTGCCAGAGATACGATGTTCAGAGGAAGCATTATATTACATCTTAACAGATTGATATTTGAAATTAATTTATCGAGATGCTTCAGAGTTTTTAATCCTTCCTGCATTTGATGCATGAACACTGCCTTCAATGGGTTTATACAGTTGGTTTTGTATCAGTAGATTTGGAATTTTAGCAATTTTTATTTATCTCCTCTTTGATATGGTGTGTTGCCAATCCTGGCTGTGGAGACTTAAGCTTTTAGTTGGAAGCTTAAGCTCTCAACCGCAGAGTTTTCAATCCTTCCTGCATTTGATGCATGAACACTACCTTCAATGGGTGGTGTTGTGTGCATATCTAGGGTTTATACAGTTGGTTTTGTATTAGTAGATTTGGGCTTTTAGCAATTTTTATTTATCTCCTCTTTGATATGTTGTGTTGCCAATCCTGGTTGTGGAGACATCGGTTGACTAATCTTTACTATTTTTGAAGCAATGGAGGACTGATTTTTGAAGAGATTTGAGTATTGAGTAGTTTGGTCTCTCTCTTGTGCTTATGGGGTTATTTGTTTGCAAATATTTAGAATATTTGTGTATTTTAACTACATTGTATTCATATGACTTTAGGTAGGGGTGTCAATTCGCGTCAACGGGCCGGGTTCGGGTCGAACACAAAATTGACCCGGCACTATTTGGGTCAACCCGAACCTGACCTGTTTTTAAAAACGGGCCAGATTTCCGGACCCGAACCGGCCCGATTCGGGTCCAGGTCAACTCGACCTGACACGAATGACCCGGGGTTGACCCAAAATTGCTAGTTTTCAGGTAAAAAATCGGGTCAATCTTTGATTTTCGGATAAAAAATGGGTTAATTTCCGGTTTCTGGTCAAATATGAGTTTTCGTGTCATTTTCGAGTCAATTTCGGGTTGCTGGGTCAACTCGAACCCGACTCAATTTTTAAAACGGGTTGATTTGTTGAATCCGAATCCAATCCGTTTTGGGTTCAGGTTGACCCAAACTCGGATTTTTCTGGGTCGGGTTCGGGTCATGTCAAAAATTGACAACCCTAACTTTATTTTGATAAATTTGTGAGATTATTTTCTAGGCATTTAGATGGTTGTAAAATACCACTTGGTCCCTGTCTAGGACTTGACAAGTAGCGTCGCTGCGCACAATTTATGTGGCTAGAATGGCCGGTAGGGTTGGTGGAGCAATTTTGAGGGATGATCTTAAAGGAGATTTGGTTGTGAGGATGAGGTAAGCTATCATTTACTTTGAGACTTCCATGCGAGCATGAGCATCATCATGAAAGTACTAACGAAATATCACTGCAAATGAAAGTACAAAATGCCAATTAATAACTAGGCGATTTCATTATGTAGATTAGCCTACGATGCATCTTGTTTCTTGTATTTATCTTTGCATTATTTAGATGTACAATTTTTATTTGGGTGAGATTTTTAGTGTTTTTTGATATGGAACTCAATTTGGTCTATTGATTGGAAGCTTTGATTGTTGATCAAGAGGTATTGGATTCAAATTTTATGTGCTTACGTTTTGAGGTAAACTTTAATATGCTTACGTTTTCACGTTAAGGAATGACAATCTTTCTTATTGAGCTGGCCAGGTTCGGCTCCATAAATTAGCTAGTGAGTCAATTTTGATGAGCTAATATGTCAAGTATGAGCTAGTCTTAACTCAACTTGTTAGCTCATGAACCAGCTCGTTTAAAATTTTTTAATATAAAATATAGTTGAAATGTTTAAGATTGGGTATTTTAAGTATAAAATAGTTTAAAATATTTAAAAAGGTATATATCACTTCATTATATTAAGTGATTCTTTTTTTTTTTAATTTCTTATTCTTTTTATTATTTATTATAATAATTAATTAAATCATAATTTTTTTTCTCTCATAATCAATGAGCTACTTGTGAAATGAATCATAATTTGTTTGGGACAGCTTTCTTCCTATATTGTTTTCATACCACAATCATAAATTATATTACTTTGCTCTTCTATATAGACTAGACTCATCATTTTCAAATTTAGGTTTTGTTTGGGGCAGCTTTTTTGCTGCTTACTAAAGCAAATTTTTAGTACAAAAATTTATTGAATTAGAAATTTTTATACTAAAAACTATTTAAAAAAATAGTAAGAAAACTATCCCAAATAAAATCTTAATCTTAAATAGAGATCATTATGATCTCAAATTTATGAAATAAGTTTTTCTAATATTGATTTAAGCCAACGTGCTAACTCTCTAACTCAAAGTTGTCCCACCCCAAATTTATAAGTTAAATTCTTCTTTGATGACTTTAATTGTTGGACGAGTTGAACTTTTTCTTGACGAGTTCAATTTTTGAATGGGTTGAACTCTCTTTTGATGAGTAAAATTTATGTATGAGTTCAACTCTCCTCGGCAAGTTAAATTTTTTGAGTTGAACATCATTTTGGGAACTTCATCTGTTATACAAGTTGACCTCTCTTTTGATGAGTTTTGGATGAGTTGCTCTCCATTGATAAGTTGGATGAGTTAAGCTCTCCCTTGACAAGTTCAATTTTTGGATAGAGTTGAACTCTCAATTGGCTTCAACTATTAAGTGGGTCGAATATGGTGGACAAGTTTCTTGAGTCTTTCATAAATTCCAAGTGCAAGTTCCCTGATCCTGAATTTTAAGGATAAGTTCTCAGGGTATTTGCAAATTTCTTATACAATGTTGTCGATATTGCTATCGCCTGCAACTCCCACATACATCTGGACAAGGCATTTGCCGCCTTGTTCTCACTCATGACTTGTATTGGATTTCAAAATCATATTCCAACAATTTGGACAGTCACCTCTGATGCTCCTTTGTCACCATCGGTTGCTCCAATAAGTACTTTAGACTTCACTTGTTTGTTCTAGCAATGAAATACCAACCTATACCAATTTGATAGAAAATAATTGAATATTTCAAGTAAACCCTAACAAATATTGAGAAAAAAACAAACGATTCACACAAAGCCTGGTGAAAAACTCTCCAAACAGTAATTTTGTTGCAAAAGATAGAACTAATAGAAATAACGAAAGCAAAGATACAATTGATCCTCAATTAGAGAGGAGGATCATTCTCTCCCAATCTCTAAATGAATCTAGAGTCCAAGACACCAAGAAGAACTCTTACAAGAACACAATAATAAAAATATAACCCTAACCCTAATCCCCTCCTCATACTTAAGGCATACAATTACAACAAGAAGCCAAATGACCTAATAGCCCTTGTCGCCCCCTCCTTTGGCTCTTAAATTTGAATTTGAACTCTAGTGAACCCCACCCAAACCCTCTCTCTCCTTCTTGCCGCCGCCCCTTCTCCTATACATGTGAACCGACCGTTTAGAAAGTTGGACCAGTCCACTAAGGACCAATCTAACATATTCATATTATGCCTTCAAGGTCTATAACACGAAAAATTCACTAATAAAGGTATAAAGCTGACAACAAATTCGATCTTTTGTTAGCAAGTTGGCAGAGTTGAGAAGGTTCTGCTGATAAAATGAAAATGCTCATAATCAACCCCGATGATAACCGTGTTGATATAAAACCTCAACATGAGGGGACCCCAAATACTAAAAAATGCCGTCAATTTTTCATAAAATATACTCAATGATATCGATATTTAAAATTGAAATAAATTATCAAAATACTTACATAAAATACACATCTACCCTTCGTAATAGTTTGTCAGTGTGAAGAAATTTAAAAATCACTTAAGCTGATAAAGATCAAATGTCTGTTCGAGAATATCACTATAATTTATTCTCAATCTATATCTTACCAGTAATGACGTGGCACGTGTCCTCTAACCGGTGGTTTCACCACCAAATGGCTCCAAAGGTAAATGGCTATGACCGGGACCCTCTTAATAGGTGGTTTTGCCGCCAAATGACAAAATTATATTATAGCCATGGTCAAATCTGGTATGTTCCCCAATGATGCTAAATCATTGAGTAATGACTCAATAGGATATGACTGATATGGCATGAAGCCCTCAATTAGCTAAGGTGGATTCAAATTTGCCCCCTTAGGCAAATATTTGCCTTAGGTCTATAAGGTACCTTTGGACGAAGCAACCCATTGTTGCCGACAAAAATCCTTCTATCAAGTGGGGTCGACTATCTCCTATGACTAAGTAGACTAGAGACCATGATGACCCGAGACGACGGATCCATGGAATCTTGATTGGGTCTATCATTAATCCCCTACCATCCTCTTTAAGTGTAAGGTGGTCAATTTCTAATTTTTAATGTTAATTAAACGCAAACATGTTGTTACTATACACCAGATACTTTGTATCTATTTGGCGATAAACCTTAATCAAAATTTCTCTCTTATTACCATGAGGGGTAATTAACTATAGGGGCTTGCACCTATAGGGAACCTGAACTCATATCATAAAGTCATCGCAAAATGAGGGTGAAATCTTTGGGTAATGTCTTATTTAAAATCCAATCTACCTTCTGAAAATTTGCCTCGGAACATACTCGTTAAAACTCTCCTCAACGATAAAAAAAAAAAAAAAAAGAGAAAAGGGGCCGCAGAGAGGTCTGAGGAATTTTCGGAGCCCATAAGATCTCTAAAGCATGTAGTAATGTGAGTGGAGTGAAAGTATAACTAAATGAATATAAGAACTAGTCAGATAATCATAATATTTGTAAGAAAAAGTCATAAAGTTAAAATGAATATATTTGCAACTAGGATAAGGAATAAATCTAGAGTCAAGTGCAGCCTTATTAATCAATGCACCATTATCCCGAAGCTGTATCCACCTATGAAGTTAAAATTGACATTAAAAAGACATAATGAGATAGTATTATCAAGAAACATTATATGTGACTAAAAGAAGTTTCAAGAAAAATACATGCTGATGACAAAAAATGCATCATATGCAAATTATGAGGAAAGTATCAGATTTCAAAGTTAAAATTGTTGTTGCTGCCACCACCTACTTCAATCATTCTATGAGGAAACTACTAGGTTTACGTGACAATAAAACCATGTGTTCGTTCTCTCCCTAAGTATTCTGGTCCCATAACAAAACGAAATACTCTGGTTGAGCCCTTTAGGCAAAATAAGAACATAAGGGTATAGTGTCACTTCCCCGTTTCAAACAAATTTTGTGCAACCCTTTTTTGTGATACAAGAAAAAAATTCTTCAGAAAATAAATGGAAATTAAGAACTTTCCAACTACTTATATTGATTGAATATTAACGGCATATAAATCTTATGTACAACGTGTTCAAGAAATAATACAATACTTGTGAAAAATCAGAAGATGGGAAAATAAATAAAAGTCCATAAACAAGAGTAGAGAAGCAAACTGAACTGGACTCTGTTGGCAAACATCATTTCATATTATCAATGTACACATGGAGTATGCACATGGCCAAAACAACACTCAAAATCAACACATAATTTTATTGAGTTATTGGGAAACTCAACATACAACTTGAACACAACTAGCATAAGGCTATGCATGACATATCAAAAAAGGAGGGTCGACGCAAAACATGAACTCATTCATTATAAAAAGGTAATTACAAAAGAAATATACGAAGATGCAGCTCGCAAAAGAGCGATATCCCACCAAAATAAAAAAGAACATGTTAAACAGAGTTTTGGGGACTTTGTATCTTTCTCTATTAAAAATAATAAAATTAACTGAAATGTACCATCTATTTGCAAACTGTTCTGAAAAATTTCTGTAGATTTTAAGTTAATGAATTCTACTGTGGAAAAGGAAACACTTTCCAATGTATGATCTCTCACCACATTCTTCTTTTACAATGATGTTATGACACATTTTCTTGACATTTCTCTACTTAACCTTAGCAACAATCTTAAAGAAATCCATTACTTTCATGAGTGATTTATTTCAGAAATGTTAAATTGGACATACGAGACCAGATTATTGCATGGCATGATATTCTTCCTGATCTCCTTGTGTCTTCTCTATCTTGATCACACTACCATGTTTGAGAAAGTTTGAATACCAATAAGCAGAGAGCTTTGGCACTCTCTGACGCTCATTGTCCTTAAAGTTTACATGATAGAGCCCAAAACTGCTTTTGTAGCCATCCAGTAGCTCAAAAATATCAAGAAATGACCAGACAGAGTAGCCCCTCACATCTGATCCATTCCTGTAAGAATTTGCAATCCAAATGATTATCATTCTGAACAAGCTTGATGATAGACTATTTATTCTATATTTCAGCAGTTGATAGTTTTTAGTTCTTTAAAAGTTACCTGATAGCCTCAAGTGTGCTTCCAATATAACCACTTAGAAAGGATATCCTATCAGTGTCATTGAGCACGTCTTTGACACCCAGGCCACAACCTATTTATTTGCATTCTTTTCAGTAATAACTCTGGTAATAAGCCATATCAGTGCAACTTAGGAGCAGATTGTCATCTATTTAGGCAGGATTTAAGCTAAAAAGAGTTTTGGGGACTTTAAATCTTAATGATTTGATTACTCCCGTTTCAGGTCTGTTAATGCTAAATTCATTATTGTTATCAGGAACATACCATTCTCTTGAATGTAGATGGGGGGATTTCCATAGGAATCTTTGAGATATTTGAGCATTTTCAGCAGACCTGTAGGCTTATTCGGTATGTAACCTGGTGGAATAAACTGTTTTTGAACAGAATTTATTAGCCAGAACTCCATATATCACCAAGACTAAATTAATGGGCTTGCTAAGCCTTACCTGATCTATTGGTGGCTCATCCTTTGAACCTGCACCGGCTTCAATTAGTGTTTTTTTTTTTTTCATAATCAATATTGTTAAAGTGATGAAAATTTGATTAACCAAATAGAGATTATTGAAAAAATACACTATGTGAGGTCAAAGAATCAAGAGGCCCGCAAAATAAATAGAAGGGGCTTATATCAAATAAAAACCACAAAGAGCAGTAAAATGGAAGGAAAAAAACTTCAAATTAGTCATGATTACTCCTCAATAATGACAAATCATATTTGATAGATTTATTAACAGAGAATCTTATCAGCCTTTTTTTTATTCCTTCCACGATACTTATGAGAATGAAATAAAAAGAAAATCATCATTCTGAACGGATACATCATCATCAGATCTGAAAAATTTATTTGCAAATTCATTAAGAGGATTAGAACAAATATCTGACTTTTTAGTCTATGATGAGATAGAATCCCAGAATCATTAGTATTATATAAATAAAAACTCAAGCTTGAATCTGACCTGTGAATTTGACAAACATGTCAGCATTAGCATCCCGGAAACCTGTCTTGGGATGATCCGAGTTATCAACCACAAATGATGCGAAGTAATAATTGATACCAATGAAGTCAAAAGCACTCCTCACTTCTTGAGATTCAATTTCACTGAAAGTTGGGAGCCTTGAGCCTGCATTTTTCCTCATGATCTCAGGGTAATCCCCAAAGATCAGCGGGCTCATAAACCTGAAGGCAACTTTTTTTTCTCAGTAATTTCACACATACGATGTTAGTAAACAAGGATAGATTAACTCACCATCCTATTGTGAAATCCATTGCTCTTTTGGATGCCATCGAATCTTTTATGGAGTTTGTCAATGGAGAGAACCACGTTGCGTACAAGTTGATGCCAATCTTTCCTTTTTGTATAGGCTGAGGCACAAGTCAGCATTAGTTGAATAACATATGATGCATTTCATATAAAATCTGCTTTTATTGCTGATGCTTAAATAGTGGTTATATTGACTAATCATTATCATTAGCCTTATCGTTAACTATTTGTGAATTTGTGTTTTAATTAGAGGATAACTTTATGCCTGTTGGCTATGCTGAGAAAAATAACTCATTGGTCTTCTTTGACTTGGGTATTAATTGGTATATATTCTTTTATTTCAAGGAAATAGAGGCATGGCTAGAAACTATCTGGATCCAGGTTCAGTTCAATCGCTTTATTCTATAAAAACAAACAAATTAATACATGAATGGCCTTTGAAGATAAAAAAGGATGTTTAGAGTACCATTTTGGGTAGCTTTTTTTTCCCCCTTTTCCGAAGAAAATTATGCTTGAAGAATATCCTTAGAAAATTTTTGTTGAGAACAACAACAACATCAAGTCTTTATCCCACTATATGGGGTCAGTTACATGTATCCTTCTTCTCTGATAAAGCAAAATTGCCTATAAATATTTCGATGATGGGCAAGTTGAATGGAAATCTCAACCGAAGGGGACCCCAAATAATTGAAAATGCCTCTCAAATTTCTATGAAAAATCAAAAGTCACAAAAACCTAAATATTTAAAATTGAAATAAAAACACCAAAATACTTAAAGCAAAATATATCTATCCTCCGCAATAGTTTGTCGAGGTGGACAAATATGAAAGTCATTTCAGCTCACAAAGAGCAAATGTATGGACGAGAATATCACTAGGATTTATTCTCAAACTGTCCATTTCCAGTAAGTCTGTGGCACATGTCCTCTAACCGTTAGTTTCACCAAAAAATGACACGACAAATAAACAGTTATGACTGGAAACCTCTGACAGGGTGATTTTGCTATCAAATGACACTATTAAATTTCGATCATGGTTAGAGTCTGTATGCTCCCAAACGGCATTAATCAATGAGTAATAAATCCATAGGATATAATCAATAGGGCATAAAGTCCCATGTTAGCTAATATGAATTCAAATTTATTCTATTAAACAAATATTCACCCCAGGTCTACAAGGTACCCTTGGACGAAGTAACCCAGGGCTGTCGATAATGATCCTTCTATCAGGTTGGGTCAACTTCCTCCTCTGACTAAATAAACCAAGTACCATGATGACCCAGGACAACGTAACCATGTGATCTTGATTGGGTCTATCACCATTCCCCCCACCATCTGCTTTAAGTGCAAGGTGGTAAATTTTAAATTTTAAATATTAAATTCTCAAACACCAATTCATGCTGCTAATATATGTCAGATACAACGTATCTGTTTGAAGACCAGCCTTAATCGAAAGTGCTCTCTCGTTATCGAAGAAGTAATTAACTATAAGGGACTTGCGCCTATAGGAAAACTGAACTCAGATCATAAAGTACTCATGAAATAAGAGTGAAATCTCTGGGTAGTGTCTTATTTAAAATCCAATATGCCTTCTAAAAATTTGCCTCAGAACATAAACGTTAAAACTCTCATCGACGATCCGAAAAAGAGAAAAGGTGCCGCAAAGAGAACAGCACAAATTTTCGGAGCCTACAATAGTTAAAAGAGCTAGTGCCTAGTTCATTAAGTGGGATCATTTTATTGAGTTTGTATCAAGGTTGGCTCAACCAACCCCAACCAATCATAAACGCATATTACTCAAAAACTGTTTAGTGTGATAACAGTGATAATTGATGAATTTGATAAATTATTTGACAAATTTAAAATTTAATCAATAATAGTGCTGAAAGAATTCATCAAAATAGTAGAATTTACAGTCTCCAAACTACTGTTGCAAGATTTAAGCAAGATATCTCAATTACTCATCTTTGCTCATCAAATCAGTAATGAATGAATTCATGACATACTTGATATCTTGTTCGGTATAACTTGACAACTGCGGCATGAGCCAATAACATATTGTGGGCAGCTGCATATGGCTCAACGGCAGAATTGCCTTCCCTGCAATTGTACCCAAAGGGATATGAGCATCGATGAGGAGGAAATTCACCATTGTCAAAGGAGGCAATAGCATTGATGTTGGGCTCAGCCATGGTGGTCCAATGGAAGACTCGATCACCAAATTCTCTGAAGCAAACGTTAGCAAATCCTTTGAAATCGTCACTGTTTAAAACCATCTGTAGTTAGATGAATTACAAGTATGTTTTATTCTCTACTTTCAACAGATATATATTGGGGGAAAAAGAATGAACGAAATTTACATTATTCTTGGGCTTAGCCAACCTCCGTACTCATCTTGAAGAACTTGAGGAAGATCCAAATGATGGAGTGATACATGCGGCTGAATTCCTACTCAATAGATAGAAAAAAATGCAGAACTTTCAAGTAGGATGAGATTCGCTTGTGAGTTTTGATTCTATGCATAAAGTTTATGATTGTTAAGCATATAGTTAATTGATATGATAGATTGAAGCTTAGTTTGGGACGGTTTTTTTTCTGCTTTTTAAATTAGCTTTTTAGTACAAAAATTAAAAATTTTGTACTCAAAGGTTGCTTTAAGAACCAGTAAGAAAACCATCACAAACGAAGGCTAAGATAATATATTCTGCAACTTGTAAAATCTTACCATGTTTAACGAGCTCATTGATAACATTGTTGTAATATTCCAAACCTTTTTGATTAACTGCTCCTCTCCCACCTGCAAAAGATGTGCCCCCAAAGATATTTGTGCTTTAAAAACTGTGCCATGATATAAAAAAAGGGGAAAAAAGTTCTGTCATTTTATTAAAGTGCACTCTTCTAAGGCCAACATGCACTTATCAAGGGCTAATGGTCACTAGTCAAAGGTAATTTAATACTCTCTAAAATTATTTGGAAACTCTCTAGCAACTCTCTAATGACTCTCCAAAAACTCTCTAAGGACTCTTGAGGAAATTTTCATGGGCTCTCCAAAAAATCTCCAAGGACTCTCTAGAAACTCTTTGTAAACTCTCCAAGAACTCTCATAGGACTCTCGACATTTAATATGAACTCATCAAGCCCATGGTGAACTAACAACAGCCAAGTTACCACTCGCTCACATTTGTTTATTCGTACAACTTTTCTTGTAGTTCTATAATCCTATAAAAAATGGTCATAGTACAATTTCAGGGGAAGAGGAAGGCATCTAGAAGCACTTGGATTTAATAATAAAATCCTTATAGTCTCCCCCTTTTTCTTTCTTGCAATTCCTCTCTTTTTCCCTCTATCTAATGGTATGTTTTGAGCCTTGTGAGCCTTGAAAGTAATGTTCTAGTGTTGCTCATAAACAAAACTAAATTCAATACCTATGAAATAGATACATACATACTTACTTACTTACTTATATATATATATTCATTTGACCATATTCTATCCATTTTTTATGATAAAAAAAAAATCTGTTATATATTAGCCCATGTAGGTCATTATGAAAGTTTGGAGCTGAAAAGTTTAATAAATCAAGGGATAGATCAAATGTAATATGGGTATAGAGAAAGATAAGATTTGAATAAAATAAATTTAAAACATAAAAAACACAAACAAAAATGGCTACTTAAAATGTATATTCATATCTATGAATTTAATCAAATGTCAATATCAGAATATGAGTATGTAAAATGATCTTCATAAGATAAAAGATAACTAAGGTTTGTAATAAATATTATTGAAGGATAGTTCCATACTAGAGAGTAGTCTGGACCAAGAGATGGAGAATCTGTATCCTTCCAGGCCTGTAAAACTCATGAGCTCAATATCCTCCTAATAAGAAACAAAATTTCGAAGTTAGTACATGTCACTCTAAAGCATAGAAGAAAATAAAAAAACATTATCATTTTAATATTTTGATATGATATGCATATCTAGTAAATGGTATTACATCATTAATTGTCTTTTATAAAATTTTGTGCTACATTTTTTGAGTAGCTAGATGAGCTAAGTTATTGTTTTGGCTAGGATGAAAATGCAAATAAAGTGTACACTTACTTTCCTAATTTAATTATATTGAAAATAGCGGCCAATTTCTATTAGAAAGTATTAAATAGAGGCTATGTCAAAGTCTTAAATGAAGACTACTAAACAAATTTACCTTGAAGACTATAAAAATCTATAGCAATGGTTGATTATTAATGCTGAAAGATGAGCTTTTCTCCATATAAACTCATGTTATCTTCACTTGTAAAATATCCCACAAGTAACTCTTCAAACTTGCAATAGCTTCTATATGTGTGAGGATCCTAGTTTTACTTTCTCGATAATATATTGAGTTTGCTATCTCCATGTATGTAGGCAAATTGTTAAACCATATTAAACCCTTGCTTCTTGTGTGTTTGTTGCCTTTCCATCTTGAATTTGGAGTTCTACATAACAAATTAGAGCTTGCAATGGAGAAGCCAATAATTCTCCTTAATGGGAGTAAATAAATTAATTTTATTATCTAGTGGGAGCATAAGTTGATTTTTTTTTTTACTATCAAATTATGGGGGCTTATTAACATATATCTATCATATTTTTTAAAAATATGTCCTCTCATATAAATCCTCCTCTTAGAATTTGTATTTTATTGTTTACTTGCAACTTTCCCCTTTTTTATTTATTGGGAAAGATGTTAATACTACTTCTTTTAAATCTTTGTGGGAATCTTTAATTGATATTTTCTTAACTGAAATATGTCATAGACAATGTAAAAGCAAAGAACACCGGTTATCCAAGCAAGAGCTGAGTACAAGGGATTTTCTTTGGCTAAGCTATTGAGAAAAGGGGAGATCAATGGAGAAAAAAGTAGAAAGTAAGTTAGGGATGAAGAGGAGAGCTTGTGGAGGAAATCTAACATAGTGGCAGGGGTGCATTCAGGGATAGGTGCACTCATATACATGCAAAGTTTTAAAAATCAAATTAGATCAGCTGGTTCAATTGTAAACCGGTTATGAGGCATGTTCAATCCATCCTAAAACTACTTTTGCATAAACTATGATTGAGCTGACTAGAACCATTGGTTCAACCGACAAATCAACTGTTGAATTATTTAAATAAATTTAATATATTAAGGATAAACTATTAAATAAAAATCAAAATTTAACAAGTTAATTTAAATTTAAGATAATATTTTTAATAAGCATGAAATTCTTATAATAGTTATTCCCTTCAAAATGTCAATCAAGCATCTTCACATGACTCCATCACTGAGTTCTTAATGTATGCAAAATCAAAAAATTATATAAATAATATTAAAGAAAAGTTTCTAAGTGATGTAGGATTAAATTTAATGTCTGAATTTTTTTTTAATCAAAAATTTATATTATTTTATCATTATATTATTATTATTATTTCATTTAGATCTTATTTAGTTAATTTTAATATTCATTACATCATCCGATTCAACCTCAGTCGAATAATTGAAATTTGAACCTCAACTTCTTCTGATTCTTTGTCTGATCCGATTTTCACAACTTTGGTTCGCATCGCTAATTGATTGATTAAGATATCGTAATTCTTAACTTTAAAAAAATTTAAAATTTTACATTAACCAACTCACCTAATCTTATTTGGTAGCTGTTATTTTCCTCTAAGCCCGGTAGTTAGGCAGTTTAGTACAAATTAACCCATGTTATGATATGACAATTCTTTCTATAAATTTATGTTTTCTTGTGGCTCATTTAATACCAGAACCATGTGCTAATATTTATGGCCCGTGGATGGGAAAGAATTCAAATTAAGCTTTAATATCAGCTTTTCTCCTACCTTTTATCTAATTTCTATTTCTGAACATTGCAATGCTTGGAATGATGGAATGAAGTTGAAGGAAAGAGATTGGCTTGTTCGTTTACTCTATAACTAGTGCAATACAATCTCGTCAAATATAGCATAAATCTTCAAACATGTTAATGAAAGTAGTTAAGCCATCGTCCTTATCTTTTGCCTTCTAAGTAGTTCACATAAAGATATCCAAATGCTGATCAATTGCTCCTCCTAAAAAAATTCTTTATTATAAGATTCTTTAGATAACTTGTTCACCTTCATCTATTATTTAATCTTTATTACAAAGGTTTTAAGGCAATTGCCCCCCTAAAAGTTTAAAAATAATATGGTTTTTGGGCAATTGACCTAGCATAATTAAACACATTGTGTAGAGGTATTATTGTTAGGGAACGATGAACCAAATGCAAAGAGAAATAGTAAAGAGAATATAAAAATATCCTTACAAAAATAATTAAACACATTGCGTAAATGTGCTATTATTATTAAGACAGCAAATTAAAACATAAAAGTGCTATTTAATTCACTTCTTGTAAACCTATAAGAGGCTGACAAGTGTACCTCCATGATAGCTATTTAAACTCTTGTATCCCTGTATCAATAACATAACGAAATAATATTTTCTCAATTCTTCTCATTACTGTTCATCTTCTTGCTTGAAACGCTCATCTTCATAGCAGATGAGTTTCTACAATTATTAGGGGCTGTCCCTTGACCCTGCAGGTCGAACCCCACAAAGGAGCATTGCCCCCTTGGACCCCCGACATATCTATGATGTATCCACTATTTGTTCATGTCGGGGGTCCAAGGGGGCAATGCTCATCTTCTCCTACTGATGAGGTTTAATGCATGCATGCTTGCTATCTCATGAAATTTCAATCTTTCTCAGCAAGTTTGTTTCTTTCTTATAAAAATTACCAAGTTTTTTATGCAGCAGCTCCGGAAAGGAAAGAAACGTAAAACAGAGTAAACCAATGTAATAGTAACTTCTTTGTTAAAAATGTATTCTGCTGTCCTCCATATCACCTGATGTGGGGAATCAAAATAAAAAAGTACAGTACTACTATAGCTAACAGAAAACAGAAAAAAGGGAATAAACAGTAATTAACAGTGCAAGTGGAGACGAAAATAGGTGGTTTAACGTTCTGCAGGAATGATAAAACCGCATCAATTTTGCTGAAATGGGTAATGGGAAGATGAATCTGTACCAAGTAAAGGAGAATATACCTTGTATTTGTGATAACCATCAGAAGCAATATCTGGCGTAGCGACTTCAGTATTCTGCCCTGTAAGATTACAATTTCAGATTCTATTTTGTTTTTAGTACAGCTTTATCACTTCAATTATTTATAGAATGGAAGGATCAAAACCGCATTTTTAAGAATAAATTAAAAAAAACTACTAATTAAGGGCTCAAAAATCTAATTTTCACTCCAAAATACAATGAAACTAAAAAATGATATGATTCATTTCCAATCGAACTCTATTTTGTGCCCAATTAACTGTCTTTCTTCTTCGCGCGTTTCTTCGGCAAAAATCGTTAGAGACAGAAAAATAGCAAATATGAACAGTGAGACGCCAATATAAAAAACCGTGAGTTTTTCCGTTTGGCTGAAGCTCGCGAGATGTCACTCATGCGTTTAGAGTTCGGTTGGAGAAGGCCTAATGCGTGAACAGAAGCGGGCGAGCTACTGGCGGTGAGAAGCGCGCGGTGGGGGGTAGCCTGTGATCTGTGGGGGCAACGGCGGTGAGGCGCCGGCCATAGCGGCCAGCACTGAATTGATCGGCGATTGCCGTCGGGTGTGAGGCAGTTTTACGTGGTGTGTGAGATCAGTGTTCATGTTTTAAAAATATTAAAGACACTCCAATTTGAACAGGAGATTTACCTTCATATATTGAATAATCCCAGATGCTCGGAGTCCGTCCATCCTCCGCCAGCGCCCCCTCATACTGAAAACAACTGCATAAGCATTCTTGCGCAAAACTGACAGTACTGAACAAGCTAATCTCAAGTTGCCGAACCTAATTTCCGCCCTCCCTAACTGTACAAAATTCTGGTGTGTTGACATTTTATTTATATTTTCTGTTCCAACAGCTAATAATATTCCAATCACTTTGGTCCTCCAGCTTGGGAGAGATTATTCGGTGCGGACATTGAACGGGAGAATCGTCTGGTACCCCTTGGTAGCAAGCACCGTACCAAGCAGTATCGGTATCGTGATTGGTATCGAGGCGGTACACTTTTGAGGTGACGTGACGCATTTTATTGCCGTCCAGACTCCGCACAGAATAATTTGTCGTAGCTTGGTGTGGCAAAACAACTAGCGCAAATACTATGTATAGTTGTATGAGAAGTGGCTATGCACCTGGAAAGCAGAGGTTCCTGCGCCGAAGACGAAGTCTGAAGGGAAGTCATCTCTGGTGTATGCGAGGAGGGTTTCACTATGAACCAAAAGGTTCTTCCAGGCCAAAGCAACGGCTAGTTGCATCAACAGTATTATAAGAGACATTCTCAGCTTGGAGTCTTCTTTGTAGTGCGAATACTACTGAGGTTTAGCTCACATATATATAACTTGGAAATTTTGAAAGCCAACAACTTTTATTATATATTAATAGACAATGGGATGAAAAATAAATAAATTTTAAAATCAGCTTTTTAATACGAAATTTTTATTTTAAAATTTTTTTACTAAAAAATTGCTTTTAAAAAGCAACAAAAAAGTTACCCTAAATTAAGACTTTGTTTGGGACGACTTTCTTCCTGCTTCTTAAAGCTGATTTTTTGTACAAAAACTAAAAAATTTGTACTAGAAAACGGCTTTAAGAAGCAATAAGAAAGCCGTCACAAATGAAGCCCAAGTCTTCCTTTGGGACAGTTTTCTTGATGCTTCTTAAAGCAACTTCTTAGCCTAAAAATTAAAGCTGATTTAATTTGGAATACTTTTTTTACTACTTTTTAAAATAATTTGTTAAAAGCAACAAAAAAATTATTTAAAAGGTGTCCCAAATGAGTTGCTTACATGATGCTTTCTGCCATTTGTAGTGAAAGTCGCTTTATAGATGGGGATTTTCATGGCGTTTTTTTTTTAATAAATAAATTTTAAAATTTAAAATTTTATTCATAACACTAAAATTTTATTTAAAAAAACAAATAAAAAATCATATTTATTGCAGCTAAGAAAATTAAAATAACATTATAAGACAAATTTAGAAAAAAAGAAAGCTTATATATAATAATAAAATTTCAAGTTTAAAATTTCTATTCAAAATAGAAAAATTTTTCTAAAATATTAGAAGGTAATTTGAAACGAAAAAAAAAATGACATGTTGCTGAATTTTTTTTTTAAAATTTAAGATTATATAATTAAAAAAAAAATATTTCAATATCAAAATAAAAAATAATAAAAAATATTTTGTCCTCACGTGCACCGCAACTTGGTCACGTGTATGACAATTTACCATCCACGTGACTTCTAGATGACTAGCTAATCTGCACATTTTCTTACTTAATTTATACTTGATTCCTTTTTAAAATTTAGCCTTTTATTATAGAAGCTTCGGTCCAGCACGAGAACTGAAACCAAGCCATAACAGTTCTACCCGCAACCCACAATAATTTAAGGAGAAGAAGACAAGTAGCATTTATTGGAAGCTCCAACCTTTCTGACCTGAAGTAGACATATTAATATTCTATTTATGTTTGTTTCTTTTGTTCGATTCCTATTGAGAAATATGCTGATTGTTAAGTTTAAGTATAATTCTTTTAATTAGATTTTTTAGCCTGACATAAATACATCATTTTGTTACTTTCATAGCCAAGAGAAAAAGACTAAGGAGTTTATTCAAAAGTCGACCATGATTGATTGCCAATCACTTCTTTACCCACTTTCATCTAAGGGCTCGTTTGGTATAGCTTTCTTATTGCTCCTTAAAATAATTTTCTTGTACAAAAAACTTGCTTTAAGAAGCAGTAAAAGAGCCGTACCAAACGAAGCCAAGATCCCCATCCAATAATGACTATAACTTGATCTTCGTAGATCCCACTCTTTGTCGTCATCTCATTGGTTCACTTGATACATTGCATTCATAAATCCCGTCATCTCCTTGGCTAGTAACTTGTTTTGCCAATATACTCAAAACCTTCTCAACTCTCATTTTCAACTACACAAATGACTCATTCATATATCAAAGGAACTACAAAAATTTGATTTGCTCATCCATTGAGGTAGGGGAGGAGCAAATTTAAAGTAACTGTTTGTGTTGTCTCGAATCTGGCTCGACCCTTCACTACAAGAAAAAGGGTCAATATCGACCCCTATTTGTTCATATTGTTGATCATCATTTACTTCACAGATATATATATCAGGGGTCCAAGAGAGCAACGCCCCCTGGTGGGTTCGACTATGTAGGGGTTTCCAGGGTAAATGACAGCGCTCTCAGAACAAATTTTGGTTGTAAGGATATTTTTGGAATTCAAATTAATAAATAAATTGATGAATTCTATTTACTACTTGTTGGTGACAATTTCTTAAAGACTATAATATTTTAAAAATTTTTAGGGGACAATTGCCTAAAAATTTTTATAATAAAAAGTAAAAAATAATTAGAGATAGAACAAATTATCTAAAGAATAATATAACAAAGAACTTTTTAGGTTGAAAGTTGACCTTCGTGTTTTTCTTCTACCTAAGCGAATGGTTTTATCTTTTTTGTCTGGGAGCATAAACTCCACAAGAAAGTCTCAACTGTTGAAAGTGGAGGCTTCAGCAAACCGGTGGAGCATTATTACGGGTGTGATTCCGCTTAGAGAAATGAGAGCAAACCTGTCCTGTTCGAAGAAGGAAGTTTATTATCTTAGGTGTTTCAAACGATGACGAACTCCATGATTCAAGATGTTCTTATATGAGTAAATTATTAGAGTACAATTTCAACTCAACTTCTGCTTTTTAAGTGAACTTAAAAAGTTCTTATTATAATGGAGTGCTCATAGATTATGGATTAAATAATTGAAATTTCAATTCAAAAATCATAATTAATGTCACACAAGATGATGTGCTCAGCTTAGAAATATGAAGAATTTTAAAGCTCTACCGATTGATTGATACTGACAATCATTTCTAGCAACCGTCATTGCATGCGATGTAGTCTGATCATCAGGTTTGTCATCATCACTTAACCGTTGTCATCTGACTATTGTCGTTTTAATGTCATTACCGATGACTATATCTCTTGACCATCTTCCTTCCACCAATCAATCACCAACATCAATGTCAATTATTCTTCATTATTTTACAGTATGTTCATTGTTCACCACATTCATAAAAGACTAAGATTTCATTTGGGACGACTTTCTTACTGCTTCTTAAACAGTTTTTTAGTACAAAAATTTTAGTTTTTGTACTAAAGGTTGTTTTAAGAAGCAGAAAAAAACTATCCCAAAAGAAGCATAAGGCTTGGTTTTGAACACGTTTTCTTATTACTTTGTAAAACTGTTGTAGAGAAAGTAATTTTTTAAGACTGTTGTAGAAAATAGCTTTTACATTGACCAAATAAAATTACAATTGAGATCTTAAAAACAAAGCAGTAAGAAAACTATCCCAAATCAAGCCTAATCCAACCAACCATTTATTCTAATCCTACCTTCTCCAGTTAGAGAAATAGAGAGAAAGCTTTTGTAATCTTCAAATTTATAGCAGATTATTTCAATTAGATCATACTATAATTTTTTTTTTTTTACTTTTCTAATTTTTCATATAACTCTTACACCTTTTCTAAGGTTTCGTTTGGGACGGCTTTTTTATTGCTTTCTAAAACGGAGTTTTAGTACAAAAATAAAAAAATTTGTACTAAAACTCCGTTTTAGAAAGCAGTAAAAAAGCCGTCCCAAACGAAGCCTAAGTTTCTTTTACTTATGTATGTTTGGATCTTTGTATAATAATAAAATATTAAATACACACTCTATTGTCATAAATTTGCTAGCGACATTGCTTATTTTTATTTGGGAGTCTCCTTCTTGAAATTTAATTAATAGTAACATTAAATCTTTTTTTTTGCTGAGTATATATATATATATATATATAATGGTTGATATTGATAATTCTTAAAATAAAATCTTTTTAGGCTAAAATAATACAAAATTCTAATCATATAATAGTGAATATATTATTGCTATTAGCTGCACCTATTCTTATCTTACTTTCATATCATGATCAAGATGGATGCAAAACCTAATATCTAACATTAAAGAAAGAAGAATGTTGGTTTGATTTGTGGAATGATTTTAGTGCTATAAATATATGACATGAATATGATCAGATTAACATTGAAAAGTTAAAATATTTCTTTAGTTAAAACACAAAAAAGAAGAACAAATTAAAGAATCAAAACAAAAGAAAATATGATAGAAATTCTCATAGAAAAGACAAATAAAGACAAAAAGACTTATCTTATTAGAGGACAAATCTCAATAACCATTATAATTATTGTGAAGACATTGTTGTAGATTTACACAATAAAAAGGAGTACAAAACTATTGCATTAGGGAGACCGGGCGGGAGAACCGTCCGGTTAAGCATTGGGTACCCAGTGGTACCCAATGGTACCGAGTGTCGGTACCGAGTTGGGTACCCACCAATAAGATGACGTGACGCATTTTTATTGGTCTCCGGACCCCCCTCTGCACTCCGCAAAAAATAATTCTTTAATTAGAGACGATTTATGGGCATCATGGGTTGCTAACCTTTTAAGGTTTATTCCATTTTTTGAAAACTGAAGCCGGTTTATCACTTGAGCTGTTCTAGTTCAAATCAATTTCTTATGATTTTAAGTGAATCCAATAATAATAAAAATCTGAATCATCACGGTTTAACCGGTTGAACTGACTAGACCGGTGTTTTTAAAAACTTTGGATTTATCAAATACTTAAGTGCCATCTTTATATATATGTTCCACTATAAAGTTTTTTTTTTTTGTGGGCTCGCAATTATTTTTGAGGATATTTGACATTGGAAGGTGGCACAACCGCACAACTATGCAATAATAATTACTAATTTCTTTAGTTTTTCATAATATAATAACTATAAAATGAGATTATTGTTGTGTAAACAACTGAACTAAATCGAAACAAAACACAATCAATCTCAAAAAACACGGAGATTTATGTGATTTAACGAAGATGCATACGTCTCCATTGAGGAGATGATAATTTTACTAAATCGGAAAAGTAGAAATTACAATAAGCTCTAAAGTAATGATTCATGAAAGCATCTATAGAGTGCTTGATTTTACTAAATTGGAAATTAAAGTAAGGTTTAATGTTTCATGAACTGTCCTAATAGGGAATGCAAACAAATTTAGTCTTAGGAAGATTGATTGTCAATGAGTTATTTTGATATGGCTATTTTATTACAAAGAATGGTTATGTGCATTATATGTCAATTATATTAAGTTACACTATGGAGATGAACTAATAATTGATGTGATTTTATTCCTCATATTCTTAGAGCTGCAAGTTGTGTTGTTCATTAAAAAAAAAACAAAGAGTACAGAAAATACAAATCAAAGTGTATGGACCTAGCACCAATTCACCATCACCAGCCTTCGACAAAATCAAAAAAGAAGAAGAATGTTTGTCTCTATTCTTATATGTCCACACAAAATTAAAAGTGATCGAAGCAAGTTGCCCAAAAAGTCAGCACATTTGTTAGCTTGTCTTTGTATATGTTGGAAGATTACTCGTTGGAAGTGTGTGAGAAAGGCAAAATCCTTAGATTCTTAGAGGAGAAAGAGCTTTTTTACTGACACTTTTATTATCTATTACGAAGGATTGTTCATTACAGATAAATTTTTCCGGCGGCTTTCTAACATATTTCCGATGGAATTTATCCGACTAATTTTTCTATAGATTTTCCAATGGCTCTCCGGTGGCTTTTTTGTCGGATTTTAATTTTTATATTTTAAATAAAAAATATGACAACTAAACATACTCACTTTGAATCCCAGCACATGCGGGCAACTCAGGCGGGCAATTAGGCTAGCAGGCAGGGCAACAAGAAGCCTGGTAGGCAGCACAGGAGGCAGGTGGGTAGCGCAGGAGGGCAGCAGGCAACCTTGTTTTTTTAAATAAATTTTTTTAAAAAAATTTCCGGGTGCATTATTCCTCCAGAAAAAAATTACCTCCGGAAATTAGCCGTCGGCCGTTGTCGTTTCCTTCACGACTTTTACAGGCGGAAAAAAACCCACCGAAAATTCTCTATAAATCTTAATTTTTGCCAAAAATTCGCCAATTAACTAGAGTTGTAACCATTGCACTCATTTTTCATCAATGTAGTTTGTTCCTCAAATGGCTTTATCACCATATATCAATGGCCTTCATTATTGGTGATCTTTGGTCATTTTGGAATTGGTTCCAAAATGATAATGGTTTAGAACCAACTGAACATTAAAATAAATTGATGCAAAATGAAACTGAACAGTTGGATTCAACATTGATTGATTTTTGTTTATAAGAAACTTGAAATGCTATATTTGGATTGGTCTAGTTTGATTTAAAAAAGTTTAATGATTTAGTTTGGTGAATATATTAGTGATTTATAAGCATAAATACATGATTATGCATTAATATAATTCAGTTCAGTTTTTTTTTTTTATTTATTTTTATAAAGTCTTCAAATTTAAATAAAATAAAACCAATTGGTTTATAAAAAAATAAAAATTGAAACAAAGAACAAATTGATTTGTTTTTTCCAATTTGGTTTGACTTTACATGACAAGTAATCTGTTTTGCCATCCTTAGCCATCATCATCTACACCTTATTCAGCTTTTATCACCTACTCTTTCAATGGCATCCTAAGACCTCATCTTTATATAAGAAAGATTAATGGAAGTTACCAGGAAAATATAGAAGATATACTATAAGATCATAACATTGATATTTGCTAATAACTATGACAAATATCACTTCCTATTATTATAAGTGTAGAGTGAGATATCAGCCAACAACCAAAGGTATTGTCATGTGAAGGAAATCACCTCTGGTTAATTATTATTTGCAGTTTGGAATATTAACTAAGGTTTCGTTTGAGACTATTTTATTATTGCTTCTTAAAACAATTTTTTAGAACAAAAATTAAAATTTTTGTACTAAGAAGCTGCTTTAAGAAGCAATAAAAAAGCCGTCTCAAACGAAGCCTAAGGCTTGGTTTGGGACGGCTTTCTTCCTGCTTCTTAAAGCGGCTTTCTAATAGAAAAATTAAAATTTTTTACTAAAAAACCGCTTTACGAAGCAGTTAGAAAGTCATCCCAAACGAAGCCTAAGTCCAAACAAATAAGCTAAGCCCCATAAACTAATATAAGCCCATGCCAATACTATATATAAGGCTCAAAGCAAAGTCACTGTGAAGCAAGGGATTTTTCTCCTACAGCAACAACTTCAATGTTCTTAATGAAGTTGGAGTACCAATGTGCTGAGAGCTTTGGCACTCTTTTGCGCTTCTCGTCATCAAAATCCACATAATAGAGCCCATAGCTTGATTTGTAGCCAGCCAATAACTCAAAGAGATCTACTAATGACCACACAAAATACCCCTTCACATTTGCTCCATTCCTACATTTTTTTTTGCAGAAAGAGTTGTAAAAAATTTTTATACTTTGCGACATCCAATATGAATAGAGAACTTCAGTGCCAGTAGAAATACCTCAAAGCATCGAGGATGCTTCCAATATAATCTCTCAAGTATTCAATTCTATCTGTGTCATGGAGCGTTTTGATGGCTCCCAACCCATAACCTGAAGGTATCAATAGATTAAACAAAGAAGAAGTATAGTTTTTTTTTATTGTCAAAATGTCATCTTTATCCATATGAGATAAGACTGATAAGGGGTTCATCAATTACTAACCATTTTCCTCAATGTAAACTACAGGATTAGCAAATTTGTCTTTGAGGTATTCCAACATATTTTGAAGGCCCAAGGGATCACTGAGCATATGAGTTGGAGGACCCTGGTTCAAAAAAGAAACTCGCTCATCCAATTTATAGCATCTAAAACCAAACTCTAAGACCAAAATTTATACTTACCTCACTTGTTTCATTTAGAAAACCTGAAATAAAAGATTTTGCATTATTTGTCAGGTTTTGTATTTTATATTGGATAGATAGAACAAGCTAAAGTGAAAGAAGAAAATCAAACCTCTGGTTTTGGCGAACATGTCCTTGCTGAAATCTCGAAGGACCAGATGGGAGTTGTTAGGACTGTCCGTAACATATGAAGATGTATAATAATTCAGGCCGATGAAGTCAAATGAGCCCTTCACAAGTTCAGACTGTTGTTGGGTGAAAGATGGGAGCCTGGAACCAACATTTTTCTTCATAATCTTTGGGTAGTCTCCAAACACCAAGGGCTCAAGTATCCTGCGCTTTGAAATGAAGTTTACTATCCACTTCGTTTAAGGTTGGGTTTGTAGTTCTTAAATGTATTTAAGCATGTAATTACAGATGAAAATATTAGCTTAGTGCATATGGAATTTTTGGCAGGCCATGCATTGAAATGCTAATTATGCATCTTATGCCGTTCTAGTGAAGGCATTAGATAGGCACAGGAGTATGGCTATGAATTTTGGTCGAAGATTACTTTACAACTGGATTGATTTTGGTTCAGGTTGAAGTTAAGCAGCAACGAATGAGCTAAACTCAGCTTTAAATGAACTTGAGTAATGCAAAGCCTAGATTGGTTTAAGACAATGTATGTGCGGACATATATATACCCGTATTTATGTTTAAATTGATGTATGAATGTATCAATTCATTTGGAAGTATGAATATATATATAATAAAAAAATGTAATATCAAAATTATTTTATGCTTGATTATTCATGGTGAGAGAGAATTTAATAACTTAGTATTGTATAAAGATATAATACACAACGTAAGAGAAATCAAAATTTTTACCAGAAAACCCTATAAAAAGGAAAACCACTAGGTCAAAATCAATTGAAATGATTTCACGAGTGTATGTCATTGATTACAAATAATACCCTTCCTCATAATTGGGAAGATGTTGATACAATATAGTAGAAATATACCGTATAGAATGGATTTCTACAGGTGGAAATTGAATAAGTCATGTGGCATGAGAGTTGCCTTTAGAAGATAAATTGTTGTAACTTCAATCATTCTCCATTGAATAGGGAAGATCAGAAATTAGCATAAATTTTGATATTGGTGTCAGAAGTCAGTGTTAGTGTCAACAGTATGCATTAGTCGTATGGGCAATGCCATACATCGATGTTAGTGATGATGAAGTTAGCAATAGTCAACCTTCATGATGCTGACATGCATCAACCTTATAGATAATGGTGTGTATAAAATTTGTTGGTGATTATAAGAAACAAAGTCAGTGAACATTGATGTAGTTGGGATGATAGTGATCAAGTAATGGGTTGATGGCGATCGAGAGATCATAATCGGGTGATGATGGTTAAGAGATTATTTTCAATGGTGTTTGGAAGAGTGTACCTGATTCATGAAAATGATTGTTAGGAAAGCGTGGTTGGGCGACAGTGGTCAAAAGACCATAACTAGGTGGTTAAAATACCACAGCCATATATTAGAGCTTAGAGTACCAAATGTAGGCCACAGTGGGTAGAGGAAAGTGGTCAGTCAATGGATGTCATGCAATTTTAGGCAAGCAACCTTTGTAGAGGGACTAAAGTTAATTGATAGTGGTTGGATAGTAGTGAATGAGCATTGGCCTGGCGATAGGGGTTAGCCAATGTGGCTTGTTGATAGTGTTTGGGTGGTCACCCGATGATGGTGGATGGAGCATTTTTCTAATAGTGGAAGCTAGGTGGTGGCCTAATGGCCGCAAATAATTGGTGGCTTGAAAACAACAATCCAATGACAACAACGATCATATGATCGTCTAAAGGTAACAGTTGGGTGGTTGTATGATGGTGGGAATCATGTGAGGGGTCTAATGGTGGTGTTTGGGTGGATCATTGGGATTCTTTAAGTCTCTAAACTTTCTTGAATTTGAAGCAAGGTCCAAGCTCTCCTCCATATAGAGAGTGAAGACCTATTTATAATTTTTGGAGATGGCATAACCTATTAATATAACCAAAATTCAAAACATTTGATCGGACGACTTGTACAAAATCCATTAATTATAAACTTTTCTTTCAACATTTAAGTACCTTAATGATGTCATAATTAGAAAATTTTTTGCTCTTTGGATGTATCATCAAGACATTTGATTTGAATATAAATATGTCAGATTTAAAGATCAATTGATCCTCTAATTAATGTCCTTTTTTTATGCCTGAAGTGCTTAATTTGGCTCATTTAGATTTGGATTAGACCACTTTTGATTTTGTTGAGTTCATCTTATCAAAAAGTTCAGCTCAATTATAAGTTTGTTGATATTAGAGATTGAATGTTTTTGAATTTGAATTCAAAAGCTTTCAATGCAACTATGCTTTGAGATTCGTGTTCTATGAATGCAATTTTTTATGACATATCAGTTGTCCCTTATTTTAGAATGTTAGAGTTTGTGTCATCCAAAACAATATATTCAGTCTTCCAAAAAATCTATAGTATAAAATTATAAATTAAAACAAAAATTATGACGCATGATCACTCCCTAAATGTTTATTTGGACCACTTTTTAGGCCCGCAAACTAAGTAAAATCTCTTTAATTTTAATTTCAACCTTTTAAGAGGTTGGAGAGTCGATTGGAATTAAAATTATTAAAAAAACTTCCTCCAAATTCTTCAAAATTGATTATAGAGATTTTGTTGGTCATTATGAGTGCTAAAATTGAATTTAAAGCAACAAGAAAATATCTCAAGCACCCTAAACACATCAAAATCATATTTCCCTGGACAAAAATGACATGGACATGCATAAGTAGTCGAACCGGCCGGTTGACTACTAATGGGCGCCAAACACATACTTGGGGGCATGCATAGTGTGCTTACGGTTGCTATTTTAATGTTTTTTAAAATTTTTATATTAAGTTCTTGTTTTGGCACCCTTTCTTGGAAAATGCTTGATTGGTATTCTTATAATTCGATGGTGGTCAGAGGATCTTAATCAACATATTGTTGTCAAAGGGTCATAGTCTGTCTGTGGTTGGACGGTGATGGTCGGGCAATGATCCAACAATAATTTTCAGCTGGTGGCTCAAGGATTGTGGATTGAGGATAATGGCTTTAGATAGGTCATGGCCAAATAGTAGTAGATGGGTGGTTATTTAATGGAGATGATCAAGCAGTGATTTAAGGATGGAGCTAACAATTTTCTAGTGGTTGTGGTCAAGCAGTGTCCATAATAAAGGATAAATGGTGTTTTGATGGTGGTGAATAGGCAATAGTTCGATGAGGTCGATTAGGAAGTGACCCAAAAATGATGATTAGCCAGTGGCTCAATGGTGACAGATAGGAAAGGTTCCAAAAATATTGAATGGGCAACAGTCCAACAACAGTGGTCGAGTGATGTAGCCTAATGGCAGTGTTTGAGTGTTGACCTAATGACGATGGATGGTGTTGGGATTCAATGATGGTTGTAGGGTTGTGTTCCATCAGCGTTGCATAGGTGGTATCCCAACAATGTCATTTGGGCAATTGTTGGACGATAGTGGATGAGTAGTGTGGCTCAACAATTTCAATCAAATATGTTTTGATGGTGATGGTTGAGCGATGGTCAAAAAATCACATACAAAAGACAGTGGTATAATGGTGGAGGTCACATAATGGTCTGACAACAATGGTCAGGTGGTGGTGGTGCTTGGGTTGAATTTCGAAATTCTTCAGGCCTTTGAGCTCTTTTGAATCTCAAGCTAAGGTCCAAGCAGCCCTATAGATATACAAAAAGTATAGAACACTTGATTATACAAACCTATTGAATCCCTTGATCATAAACCATTCTTTCAGCATTTAAATATCTTAATGATGTCAAAATTCGAAGACTTTAGACTCGTTAGATTTGTCTCATTAATATGCTTGATTTAACCATAAACACTAATGATTTGGAGGTTGTTTGATTGTCCAATTATATTTTAATGTTTTTTATTACGCTTCAAGCGCTCAATATGGGCTCATTTAGATTTGGATTGGATCAATTTAGTGTTGTTGACTTCATCTCATTGAGATGTTTAGTTTGACTATATATATATATTTTGAATTGACATTTAGATGATTCAGAATTTGTTTTCGAAAGTTTCCAACTCAATTCTATATTGAGATTCATGCTTGATCAAATTGATTTTCAACGACATGTCAGAAATCAATCAATTTTTTTACTTGAATTGAAGTTAATGAATCATGTTTAGCTAGAATTAATTGAGATTAGATTGAATCAGCATATCATGAGACTTGATTTCATTAACATGTCAAGAAATATTATTTTATAGCATGAACTAGCACCATTACTGTTTTGAGAAAAATGAACTATTATTACTTAAGAAACTTGGTATGATATCAATTTTGTGCAATAACTCACCACCCCATAAGAAAGTCCTTTACTCTTTGTGTAGCTTCAATGTCTGCTAAGGAGTCTGAGAGTGGATAGTACCAAAGAGAGTAAACATTCATTCCTATCCAACCTCCTTGATTAGTCTGCAAAGATCACAAAATTTTCATTATTCTCCCGATTATTATACTTGTTAAAAAATGATAAAAATCCCATTTTCCTTGTTAAAAATGTTTAAGATTCCCATAATTTGTCGTTTCTTTCTTTTTATACAGGTCAACAGCTACTCCTAGTGGTGATCAAGTATTATCTGTTATACTTGAAACTTAAACAGGCTTAGAAGCCTCCTCATCCTCATCCTAAGAGCTTTCACAGGCTAATAGCAATGACTAGAGTTGCCTGAGAATTGTTAGATGTAAAGAATTACCTGATAAGTGTTCTTATATAGCTTCACAACTTGGGCATGTGTGAGAAGGATATTATGAACAACAATATATGGCTCAGTTGTGGAGTTTCCAACATTGCAATTTACTCCAAAAGGATAAGAACACCTTCCAGGTGCAAAAGTTCCATAGTCATAGCCACCCATGGTCATGATATTAGGCTCAGAAAAAGTCGTCCAGTGAGAAACCCGGTTGCCGAATTCCCTGAAGCAAACATTGGCATATTCTTTGAAGTCTTCCCTGTATCATTGACAAAGCCAAAAGATTTAAGCAAAAGGAAGCTAAGGGCTACTACAGGCTGTGTTGAAATTCAAAACTTCTAAATCATCTAAAAAGTGAGCTTGAATAGGTACACAATCCTGTTGCTCAGCCATCCTCCATACTCATCTTGAAGTGATTGTGGATGATCTCCATGATAGAGAGTCACATGAAGCTTAATTCCTACAAAATGTTCATCACAGGAATCTCAGAGAAATGGAAATAAAAGCTATATGGATATGAATGCTTCTAAGATGCTAAGATATAGCTCATTTTCTTCCTAGTACAAGAAACATGAGCAACAACTATAATATTATATTTATCAGGAAACAAACCTTGTTTGACCAGCTCATTAATTAAATTGTTATAATACTCCAGACCTTTTGGATTGATAGCTCCTCTTCCATCTGTAGAAGTGCAGACACAAAGCTTCTCTTTGCAATTTTCTTTATTTTTTTCATCTTGTAAAAGCAAAATTGAAGAATTAACACATCATACCAGGGAGAAGCCTTGACCAAGAAATTGAGAATTTGTACGCCTCAAGCCCCAAATCACTCATCAGCTTCACATCTTCCTGTAAATTATATAAAAAAAAAATTATTTGCATTTTTTGAGGCATTAAAGCTTGCATTTAAATAGCTTTTTCTTATATATATTCAGGTAAAGAGTTCTATGCATTTCAAGAACTAAATTTTTTTATGTAATTCATAAATGGCCATAAGAACCTTGTACTTGTGATATCCATCAGCTGTCACGTCGCCATTGCTCTTATCTGGAGCTCTTCCTGAATTTCAAGAACCAACCACGCATGATTAAGCTATTCTGCTCGGGGTAATTTAGAAGTATCAGACGAACGGTTACTAAATGATTGGTTGAGTATCTAGAAAGCGTTATAAATAATTAGCATCCGATTCTAAAGGACCAAATATTTATAATTTATTTTAAAGATAAAAAAATAAATATTTTTATTAATTCAAAGTAGGACACAAGAGCAGTCCCAGATATGTGGAGACGTTTAGGGGATTCGAGCGCAGGTGAGAGGGGATGAATTGCTTAAGTAGACTGCCCAGCCACAGTCCCGATCTCTACTTAAGACTTCAATCACTACAGGAAAATCACTCATTACCGGCAGTTTGTTCCGGCGATTACTAGTAGTTTTCCGGCAGTTTTGTAAAACACCGGCGGCTTGTCGAACCGAACCGCCGGTAAAAACCGCGCCGGAAACTTTTTCCGACGGTGTTTTTCTGGCGGTTTTTTTCACCGGCGGTTTTCCGGCAATTAAAAAAGAAGCATAATACTAAGTTAAGTGTTGCAGAGATGTGGATGCTTAGGTCTACCTCTATTCTCTTAACATAAATAAAATCTAATACCTCTACTTTCCTAACCGGGTCATCTGAAGGCTGTCATTTTATGTGACCAAACCATTTAAGGCGACACTCTCTAATCTCATCATCCATTGGAGGTACTCCAACATTTTCAAATATATGCTCATTTCGTATCATATCTCTAAGGGTAAAGCCACTCATCCACCTGAGCACCCTCATCTCTGCAACACTTAACTTAGTATTATGTTTCTCTTTTAATGACCAATATTCGACACCATAAAGCATTGCAGATCTCACAATCATCTTATAGAATTTTCCCTTAAGTTTGAGGGGGACTTTTCTATCACACAACAAGCCCGATTCATTCCTCCATTTCAACCAAACTAAAAACGTAAACCTCAGAGGCCGGTTTCGCACACGAGCGGGGAGAGGTGAGAGATCTTTGTTTGGAGGACCTCGTCGGCGGCCGAAGGGCGCGTCTCAATCGTGAGAGGGCGGAGGAGACGGGGGCGAGCGTCGCGCAGGAGAGAGAGGAGCAGGCGATGAAATGAAATGGAAGGCTCGAGACTGATTATTCTAGGGCAATTTCTGGTGGTTTTCCGATGGTTTAGACCGCCGGAAATAATTTAGTTAACACCGGCGGTCCAAGCCACTAGTAACGCGCCGGTAAGATTTAATGCTGGCAGGTTAACCGACGGTTTCTGGACCACCGCTCGTTCCGGCAGCTTAAATTTACATAACCACCGGTTAGACCGTCGGTAAAAACCGGCGGTCACACCCCCGTTTAAGCCGCCGTTAGTACCAGCGGTTGGAGAACCGCCGGTTATTGATGAATTTCCTGTAGTGAATCTTGAAAACCAAGAAGTATATAGTTTAAGCTAAAGCTCTAAGAAATTATAGAGCATTTTGCTTAAGCAGCTAATAGCATTTACATGAAAAGGCTTAAGAGCAATGATTTTTAGTCCTTAAGAGCAATTGAGGCATCCCCTTTCTTTAATACTTTAATATGTAGTTCACTTTGATCTGTTGGTTGAGAGTTTTGACTATCGACTAATAGATTTTGGATTTGAAATTTGTATATGTGATATATGAGTTTATATTAAATTTCATTTAAGACAACTTTCTTCATATTTTTTAAAGCAGAATTTTAATAAACAAATTTTTACTTTAAAAACTGATTTAGAAAGAAAAAGAAAAACCTTTAATCGACTCAAAAGTTGCCCCAAAAAAATAACCTCTTTAATGACTTGGATCAAAATATTTATAAAATATTCACAAAGAGCTGGAATGTACGTAGAATGAGCAATTGTAAATACATAAAGCCGTCCCAAACGAAGTCTAAGTGAAACCACAGGAGAAACTGCTGACTTGCTAGTGATATTCCTTGGACTTGAAAGTAGTGCCATACAGAATAAATTTTAAGATAAAAAATTTCCTAAATTCGTCTTTGGTTTTATACTTGTAATGTTGGAGAGTAAGATTTTTTTTTTTTTAACATAACAAAATTAGATTATATTAAGATCGATTGAAGCTTCGCCGCTGTAATTGGAGGAAGAAGAACAGAAACTACTTATCAGTTTCACCTTCATGTGTGAATATATCCCAAACGCTTGGTTTCCTTCCATCTTCTGCCACCGCTCCTTCATACTGCAAAACATTAGAAAAATCAATGGCGAATACTTTCAAAACTACAGATTTCCTCAAGAGAAACTACTCAAGTAAACACAGAGACCTGGTAAGCCGAAGTCCCTGCTCCAAATACAAAATCTGAAGGAAAGTCCTCACGAGTATATTTGGTACAGAAGCCCTTCTGTGAAAGGATCAGCAGCAGAATGGATAACAGGAAAGAAACAGATTGGCGTAGAGATGAGGCAGCCATGCTTCTGTTTTTCAAGGCTGTTATCTCCTCTATATGTTTATATAGAACGGTCAAGTGGTCTCGCCAGTGAAAGCGAGGTTATGTTTTGCTTTACTTCTGATGTTATGTCCACTCAGTCATCTCCTTGGACACTTGGACAGCACAAAAGTTGCCATTTTACTGTATAAATGGGACTAGAGTGAAGTTAGGCTTGTTTTTTATGAGCTTTTGGTTTTTTTCTGAGTCCATATGGTCTATGGCTTTAGTTAAATTCCATGTTCATTAGGTTCTTTTTGTTAGTGCAGTTGTTAGAGCTGTTTTTGTTGTTCTGAGAGCATGCTCCCACTTGTTTGGAACTTTTTTGTTACAGCTTTTTCTTTTTACATGTAATAGCTTTTACTTAGTTTTTTAATATGCGGGCCAAGCCCAAATTCCCCGCCCCCCCCAAAAAAAAAAGTTATGCTTGTTGCTCATTACCTCTGATCGAAATATATATAAATTTATAATTTGGACCGTATTAAAATTAGACCCTAGTTGAAGTAAATCAGAAAATATGATATAAAAAAATAAAAAGAATTAAAAAATTAAAAAAAAAAAGATTTTTTTGTTGGCTTAAGAGTTTTAAAATACATAAATAAATAAGGGAGAGAGAGAGAGAGAGAGCTCTTTCATGTTGTGAAAGTTTCAAGGAAACAAAATAAAATTTAGTTTAAAAATATACATTTTCTATCATTAGAATAGAAAACATAAAAGATAATAATAAATTTTATGATTAAATTAAAATATAGGTAGTTATGCAACATTTTATTTCTCCTGATTTGTGTGGTGTGCTTAATTTTTAATCAGGATTACAAGTGAACATTGTTTAAAGGTATTAATAGATTTTATAGCTCATCTCTAATATCTCTCAGAAATCTATAATACTTTTTTTATGTACTGAAATGATCAGTTGAGAAGTATACATGGCCAATGTTGTAAATTCAACTTCATAGTACATCATTGTCATATTCTTCTGCTCCAATCCCATAAAAGTCTCATGCATCTACTTTCGTTCTGATAGAGGTATGAATCAATCCATGAATATGAAGATGAACTCTTCCCACTTGATCTAAGAGTTTAACATGCCTTGAAATTTTTCACTTTTAGTTTCCCAAGCCACCACCTCTCAGCTTTGCCTTCAAACAAAAACACTCCCAAGGGAACTTTCCTATTCAACAAACAATACATACAATCAAATATCTTCCCTATCCTTAGTAGTCAGCCTTCTGGCTCTACAGTTCCTTGAATAATGGGGGCTTCAACTTATGAAACATTTAATAATGCGGGCTTCAACTTTATATCTTCTAATCATCCATCAGAATCACTAATAATCTTACATATAAAAGTAATATGCACATGACAAAAGCTATCATTTATTTTTACTTTATTTTAAAAATGTATATTTTTATTTATCTTCAAAAAATCATTTAAATTAGTCATGAATACAACTTTCCAATCAATCTGCTTTAATATATTCATAACTACAAAAATGAACAAAAAATAAAACCATACTTAAACCAGAGCTAAATATGCCTCACTCAATTGGGCTCTTATCATCCCTGGAAAAAAAAAACCATGCAATGAGCTTATAGCTCGGTAGGTTACATAAATTTTCCACTACACCAAATGTTAGAAAAGCATAAAATATGTATGTAATCATTCAAATTATCAAGAGAGCATGCTTATCATAAATTCATGTGTATAAAAACATATCAGCATGAACAATAGTGGTTAATATGAGCAGTGTCAATCAGTACAAATCATAATCATGAAAGTGATTAGTAATTATTTACTCAATTATATTCCAACATATCAAAAACAGTGTTATAGTAAAACTATCATGGGAATTATGTAAGGTAATACCCGCTTTTGACATATCTATCGTTATTTGGGTACCATATTCACTTCTTTGGGCTTCTCTTGAATTGAGAAAGAGGTTTGATTTTACATCTTTTTGATATATAGTTTGATATATAGAAGGTATCCTCCGGATAATTCCAATCGAAGCAATTTGATGTCTGACTCGGGCCTATATGACATGACCGATCGATAAAGACTCCAACACTCCACCTTTGTCATATATTCCATATATCACACTAGATAGATATCATATTCATGGAATACGATTCACTTTCAAGATGCCTTGATGGTGAAATGGTAGACACGCGAGACTCAAAATCTCGTGCTAAAGGGCGTGGAGGTTCGAGTCCTCTTCAAGGCATAATATTGAGAATGCTCATTTAATGAGCAATTCCATAACAGATTTCGGATCTAATCAATATTGACGAGTATCTTATCTGTTGATACGAAGTATTCCGGCGATCCTCACGATCCGAGTCCGAGCTGTTGGAATCGGCAGCGGATCACGAAATCTTGGCGATCTTCTCTATAGGAGTCCGTTTGGAAATCGTCCGCCCTGCGCGCACCCCCCGAGTATTGGATTCAAAAAGAATCGCACAAGGTAGATTAATAGAAACCTCCGTTAAATGAACGTAATCTCTATGTCATATCATGTTATTTATGCAACATATATCAATCTCATGTATCATGTGTATTATATATATGCATCTATATTAGTGTTATTATGCATCATGTTCAAGTATCATATCATGTATCATATAGTTCCTATTTTATTTAGCTTATGCATATTGTTATTATCTCTATAGGTCATGTATGCATGTACATATTCATATTAATGCAAGTCAGGATATCTAACTAATCACATGGCATTTTCTTGTATCTTGTTATATCATTAATGTATCAAGTGATCATCTTGTAAGAATCATCACTCCTGCCCAGCAGAATATCTTTTCCACTTATGACTTCATATCTTATATTTTGTATCTTATATGGGGATTATAACAAAAAAAAATCATAATTTAAAGGAAAATTTGATGGCCCACAATTCTATACATGATATGTTACTCCAACCAACTTGAATTAGTCGATAATTAGCTAACCTTTCTTGCATCACACACCAATGTTATATATTACATGCAATTATGGTATACCATATGTGTATCTTATATCATTTAGCGTGTAACACTACATGAAAATCTATCATAACCGGCAGTTTTTGCCGGAGGTTAACACTTGTTTTTCGGCGGTTTTGTAAAACACTGGCGGCTTTTCGGTGGTTCAAAAATCGTCGGAAAAAACTACGCCGGAAACCATTACTGGCAGTTTTTTTCCGGCTGTTTTCTTCGCCGACGGTTTTCCGGCGGTTTGTACCGCCAGTTATCTTACTGCAAACTAAGCGCCGGTGACCGCCGGTGTTGTTACCGGTGGCATACCGGCCGTGAAACCGCCGGTAAAAACACCGTATTTATTATCGTGTAGACCGCCGGTACTCTGCCGGTAATAGTACCGGTGGTTAGAACCAAAGTAATTGCCGGCGATGTGACCGCCGGCGTGTCGTCGGACTACCGTCGATAAACTGCAGGTATATACTGGCAGTTATAGTAGATTTCTGGCAGCGTCAATTACCCGTCTGGTATCAAAGTTTTTGGCGGCCAAACTGCCGGTTGGCCGCCCGAAACCTGTAGCATTTGAAAAAAAAATTGACAGTCTCCCTTCTATTTGAGGGATTTTTACCCTAAACTCTAAACCTGCACATAAAATATAACAATTTTATGCAACACGCCACTATAGTCAATCACAATAATTATCACAAATATATTCATAACTTAAACCAAACAAAACAATAAGTGAAACCAAATAATTTCATAACTAAGTTCATAGGTTCATAACTAAGTTTAATAAGTTAAACCAAACAAGTTCATAATCAAATAAGTTTACAATCAGATCATCATAAGTCCATCAAACATAAAGGAGTACTAATCCTCCTACATATCCTCGCTACTGGATATGCATGTGGATGCTCTGTCTCTTGCTCTTTCTTCCTTTGATTTTCACTTAACACCGGCAGTTCTACCCGCTGGTAACGTGCCGGTAAGTTTTAATGCCGGCCGTTTAACTGACGGTTTCTGGACCGTCACTATTTCCGGCGGCTTCAACTTGTATAACGGCCGGTTGCCCGCCGGTAATAATCGGCGGTCACACCACCGGTTAAACCGCTGTTATTACTAGCGGCTGGAAAGCGGTAATCGATGAATTTCCTGTTGTATAAATCATTTTAACATTATGTTATTAATTCACATTTTATATAAGTGTACTTGCTAAAGTATGCATGTCATGTTAGGCTTGATGACATAGATGCATCAGTCTTAATGTAATTTCTCATGTGCATGCAATCTTGTTAGTTAAATTAAAATATTATGCATGCAATTTTACTTGGTAAAAATATAAGATTATCATATCAAAATATATAGAATAACCATATATATCATATATAAAAAATTAATGATCTAAATATTTAGAAAAAGCATACCATAGATCATCAAGATGAGCATGATAGTAATGAGATGTAAAAAAAATTTGTTAAAATAAAATGGAGTTGTAAATGCCACTATTAGTGAGAGAGAGAGAGAGAGAGAGAGAGAGAGAGAGAGATTTTTGAAGATATAAATGGTATTAAAGATATAATATTTCGGCACATAAAATAGAAGGCAAAGATTCATCCAAGCATAAAGTAGATAATTAGAATTAATGGGCAAAAGTTATTAGAAAAAAACCTAGGTGTTGACCTATTTTTTTTTTCCAGCCCCAGGTCAAAGAATTGACCTAGTCAAATTTGATCATGCTAGACCCCAAGACCCATCCCAATGGGTTCAAGAAGTCAAGCCAAGTCTGCTAAGCCCAAACCCAGGTCCTGGGTCAACCTGGTTGACCAGGTCAACCAGGTTTGACTCAAATTAACCTTGATCCCCTTCTAATTGATTTCAAACCAATTTCAAACCTCCTTGAGCCCATTTCTCTTCACCCCTGGACTCAGTAGGTCGAGCCCAGTCTAATAGGCCTAGACTTGTGCCCTGGGTCAACCTAGGTTGACCCAATCAGCCTTAATGGGTCTAATTTCATTTCAAGTCCATTCAAACCTATTCCTGGCTCGA